CGTTATCATATATTTCGTTTTGCCGCATTTTTCTCCCATAATGCTGTGCACAGCCCCGACCCTCTTGCCCATTTTTCTCAACAGACTTATTAGCTTGCTTATTAGAGACGGTGTCACAGATATTGTAGGGGTTATGTGGTCCAGCAGTAATTTGACATGCATCTGCCAAGGAAAACATTTCCTGCCTTGTGAGGCTCTCAGTGAGAGACATGCCCTGTGGTCTGACCTAAGGCCTCATGCTGCAATAATGGAAAAACAGTCCCAAACTTGGAGTGCAATGGAAACCGATGGCTGACAGTCCTCAGTAGAAGTATGTGGCGCTGGAAATCTGATTGTCTTATTTGTTTAATAGAGGCGATATAACTGCCATGTGAATTTATGCAGCACTTTTGCAATTGTAATTGTTTGATTTTATGATCTCTTTTGAATCATTTTAATGCAGCAACATTAATTCTTGCGTCACATGCTTTATGCAGCTTCAAGGTTTAGTCCAACTTGATTACCTCACAGCCCTTAGAATTTAGCCTCTCTCCTATATTGATGTGTCTCACTCATTGTATTGTTGTAGTCGCAGGAGACAGATTGTGTGAAAATGAATATCCGCAGAGTTCTATTTAAGTAATTTTTTTATTACCCACAAGGACTACAGACTTAATGAAATGTGTTCTACTGAGTTTTGTTTGTACAGCTTGTCAAACATTTGTTGGTTTTATAATACAGTAGAAATATGTTCTGTGCTGAGTGATATATGAAGGTCAGTGGAAAGCAATCGTGTCCTCACCCAGGTCATAACTGTGGCAGTGGGGTGAGGATTTCATCCTCCACTATGACCTTTTGACCTTTGAAGAAGACCCATGGTCTTGATTAATTTTCTCCTCCTCTGAAGGGCCTCATTAATTTGGAAAAAAAAACTATGTAATCAAATCAAATACATTAGTTTTATGAGTTAAAAAAACAAAATGACATGCTGACATTTGACAAGGACTCAAATGTCTGCTCACTTCCCTCTACTTACAGTACGGTAGGGTTCATGGGTCTATTTCTGGCATTTTTTAGAAAAATTTAAAAACGCTGAAAATTAAACTGAAACATTTACCTTCCTTTTACATACGTATATGTATGTGACATTCTCAGATTGTCCCATTGATAAGTAAAGATCAATTATGCACCATGTAGTAGTGACTTATTCAAACTGATTTATTATATGCTGACAACTTTGTCTCGTCAGTAATAAAGAGGAGAACTAAAGATACCAGTGGTCAGTTTCTAAATTATTAAGATTCATACCAAGTCCTCGGTTTGGCTGCTGTTAAAAGAGGACTTTGCAGCAAAGCTCAGTAGTTTAACTGTGTCTAGGCTGAATAAGACACGGAAAACCAATGAGCTGAGACATTCTTGCAGCCTGTAAACCTCAGCACACAGACAAGGCAAATGTGCTGAGAGTGATAAACGCACATATGGTTGACAGATGTGTCAAGTGCATGGTACTGTAATCGGTGGTAGATGGTAACGTACCCAGAAAATGTGCATTCAAACTGACCAAGAATCAAATATGTCAAACATAACAAGAGCAAAAATAATCAAAAATGTGTCCCAGGTTATTTTATTAAACTAAAGTAAATAGAGCTTTCACACTTAGGCTTGTTGTGTACATGCAAACAGGACACAAATTCATGGGTTGATTTTGGAGCAGCAGATGTGAGACCCGGGCAGTGGAATGTCAAGAATGCACTGAAGCTGAGAAAGAGAGAATAAGAGAGAGCGAGGGAGAGAGAAGCTGAGGAAAGAGAGATCACGCCAGGCCAGTTATGACCACAGCCCATATGGCAACAGCAGATTTATGACCAGCCAGAGTCAGAGGTTGGGGGTGAGAACCCAGAGGTCACCACCTGTATCCCAGCAGACCAGGAGAAGAAAGAACCTAAACCGACAAAGCAGTAGGAGAGACAACTCTCCTACTTTTTTACATGTTTAAATAAATAAATAAAAAATTAACCATCAGCCAATAGTTTTTAGGTGGACTTAATGGAGTTACATTAAGTCATCCAAGTATAAATTCTTAAATTTGACATGTTTTGATAGAGTTTAACTTATATTAAAACATTTTAATAATGTTTTGCATTTGCTGAAGTGATGATGTCATTCAATGCTCCCATCATAACTTGAGCACAGTTGGTAGATTACTCATGCAGCTTTTGTTATATGTATAACCTTAAGCAAAATCAGCCATGCTTAATTTGCCATGCAAAGCTGACACTTTGTTAGTCTTGCAGAGGACACCAAGGACAATATAGCTGTAAATCATGTGGAGAACCATCCCACTACCTCTTGTATCTATGGTTCTATTTCTACTTCTTGAATATGTTAGTGAGGATGTAAGATGCTAAATTGGTCTTAGAGTCATTTCCAATTGAAATCTATACTAGACTGTGCTTCTGCTGCAGTCATTCACTTTTCATGCCCTTAAGAAGTTTTTTCCAGAATCAAGTTCCCCCCAGACAAGTCCGTAACTACAGGCTAAGGGATAAACAACATCATACTGTGGACCCAGTGGGTGATGGTATAATGTTCCTATGAGATTTTCCTGCAGCCTTGGCTGGCACAAGCGCTCTGTTGCTGCTTCTCCCATTGGATATCATGATCTCATCACTGTGTGACTGTCCCCTCTCTGATCTGATGAGTGTGTTGGAGGGTATTTTCGATAGGCCCTTCCCCAAGCATCCACTCTAGGTGTGGTTGGGGGGTCCGATATCTGATACAAGAACAAAAAGCAAACATTCCTGGCAGCCCATTAAGGAAGCTGTTTAATGCTTGCACTTATATTTGTCTAAATTTGAATGGAGAGGCCACCAATAAGAGTGTGTCATTGTTGCAGAATCAATGGTGAAATCTTTGAAATTTTGAAGTTTGTGTCTGTGTGCCTTAAAAGGTCTTTTTTAAATTCACGGGATGTTTTTATGTGGTGAGAAACCTCCCTAATCTGCTTCAGCTGCTTTAAAAATGCACAAAGTAAAGCCTACTGTACAGTAAGTTAGTTTATAGTGGACCTGGGAGGACTGTTGTGCGGTAACGTGAAAAAGGAAAAACGTAATGTTCATTTGAAATGAACTACTCTTAGGAATTTCACAAAGCTATTCTCCTCGTCTGATTGCGAGGAACGACGTAGGAGTTTCTTAATCCCTGTGGAATTAAAGAAGTTTGTATTGAGGGGCTCAAACAATTGGTCAGCGGGTGCTTCTCCTGATAAACAGTAAATGGTTGAGGAGTTACAGCCCTGAAAGGAAAATATGATTGCAAATGAATGAATGTCTCCACTGAGACTTCAGTGTGCATGTGTGTGTGTTTTATTTCTAATATCTCTGTGTGGCAGTTTGCATGAAAAGGAGAGGACAGTGTTTGACAGCGGGGTTCAGCGACAAAGTAGCAGAGTGTGTTATTTTGTGTGTGTGTGAGGGTTACTTTAAATGTGTGTGTATTTTCTTTTTTAGTTCTGAGGAAGTGGAATTTAAAGTACCATCATTAACTGTATTCAAATTCAAAGATTTGTAACGACTAATCGTCACCCATTACCCATCTTAGATATTAAAAATGTAACAAAACAAATAATGAAATAAAAGTAAATTTCTGATTCTGCATTGACCAGGACCAGGATATTAAGTTCATTTGATCATCAGATGACGTTTGGCATTTCACGCAAACTGTGATGACTTTTGCCCGCTGACGTAATATTCCTTCCTTCAACATTTGATCGGTTGGTTTGTGTTGTGTTGTGATGTCTCAACCAAGTGTCACTATGTGAGGGAAAATCGGACAGGTTTTTACCAGTTGTGTGTTGTGACTGATCTATGTGTTAATTCACATCGAGATGTGGCGCCAAGGGAAAAATGACTGTGTTTAAGAGATGGTGTAAAGTCGAGAAAACTCTTGTATGATTTTTTTTCCAGATGACTTCCTTGTACACGTCTGTCTTGGTGCACTTTTGTATAAATAGTGATCTTAAATACAGTACTGTCAGCAACGTTGTTGTGTTTTCACCCAGAAATAGTGTTTAAACAATCTCTAAATCTCTGCTATAATGTTTAAAATCTCAAAAAGCCTTTTTGGAATTGGTTTAATTAAGTCAAGACTTCTTGGTCGTTTGTCTTCTTTCACATTTAGTGATTTCCAATTAAGAGAAATTAGGCAGATAATTATGTAATCTTCCTGTCTATATTATTGAAGGTGGTATGAGAGTAACTGTCTTTACTCTTTGTAAACTCTTTTGTGACTTTGTTTACACTCACCAGTGCATTTAATAAAAAATACCTTCTTAAGCCACCTATGTTGTCCAATTTAGCCATTAGACGAGAGGCTTTGATTTTTTGGAAAAAAAGTCACATGACCATTGCCCTTCAATGTAATCAGAGACTATGGTTTGGGGGAGGGGAACAAGCCCAAGATTTACTGTGGGCGTAAAGGCATATTCCATAAACATTGACACACACCAGCTGCCTGGCAGCCTCATCAGACTGGGCCCCCTTTAGTCACTGGCCTGGTGTCGTGTCTGTCCTGGGTCCGGTCTGAGGATCGCATGGCTGCAGCCTCCACCTGCTCTGCCAATGTGACCAGTCTGTCAGCAGTGGCAGTGTGGGGACTCACATGCAAACACTCTGTTGAGATACAAGCTCAGTGTAGTGTGTCAGCCTCATACTGATGCAAGCTCTTTCACAGACAGATGTACTATATACGCATAGCCAGATACTTATACTCGCAGTTTTCAGTGCTGACACACTCAGTAATCTTGGCTCACTCTGGATGCACAGGTGTCAGAGCACAGATGCGAGAGCAAAAATGTGAGCACGGTCATAGTTTAACAGGGAAGATAATTCAATTTTATGGTGAAATTTGGTATTTCGGTAATCTAATGTTTAAATATGTGACACAATCTAAATTATTGTATATATGTGAAATTCCTGCAGCACTCAACTGCTTTTTGATTTGTTTCATTAATTTATCGTGTTTTCTGTATGTTTTATCCATTTGGAAATTGAGAATACTATTGTTTCAGTTTTACAAGTGGTATTTTTGTCCATGTTAAGTATAATACTACTTCAGCTGCAGCGCATGGCATTGACACCGTTGTCTGAATTGCCTCTTGTAATGCACCTGACATTACCAGATTAGAACAGGCCTGAAGTACAGGCCACTCAAAATGATGGTATTTCACTGCCACACTCTTCCTTGTCTGCTGAGAGCTTTGGTGGATGCTCCTGTTATACGCAGTCGTTAATCCTCCACATAGAAATCTGTCTTAGAATGAACTTGATATTAATATTGATAATTGTCAGTTTTTGTCCTAAATTTTAAGAGTGTGTTGAAGGTAGCATTTTTATTTTAAGCAGTAGAAAATGATATAATTGTATAGAAATATATAGTAATCAGTGTAACTGGGCTTTTATATTTCTTAGCTAAAATTTCAGGTAAATAATAAATGATAATGTGTGTTTTGCATCTTTTCACTGCTATTTGTAAAAATAATATTCCTCTAATTTTTTTTCTTTACTTTTTTTCGCTTACAGGAAGAAATGAGTTGATTGCACGGTATATCAAACTTCGTACAGGAAAGACAAGAACCAGGAAGCAGGTCAGTTCACATCCACTCTGGACTGAATCAGCCTCTATTTTTGAACTCCTAAAAGTCATGTCCTACTGAATGATGCTGCTGCCCCTGACTAATCACTGCCCTCGACTCAGCAAACAGAGATGATGATTGATTTAGGGCCAGGGCCCAATGCACAGATGCTATAGGATCAAGTGTCCCTGTTTTTTTCTTCAGCACCTCACAGATCTGGTGCTTGTTAGAAGGTGAAAGAAGCTGAGGAATACGGTGGTCTGAAATGCAGACCAAGAGGGGGAGCACAAGGGATTTGGAACTCAACCCTCACTATGGTATCTGAGAGGATCCCGTGGTTGCACAGTGATAGATGTGGAGAAAATGGCTCCATGCTAAGTCATCTAAGTAGAGAGGGTGGTGTAGAGCTAAGAGAAGGAGATACAGAAAGATCAGAGGTGGGTGGTGGGCCAGGGTGAAACGGCCGCCAGACAGAATGTTCTGGTGCCACATACAGTAGAGTAGTAACCTCGTGAAAAAGTTTTCATTTCATTAACATCATTTCTTTTATGCTACACTGAGAAGAACCCTGCACACGCACGAGGCTCAGGTCAAAGTTTCCCCAAACGTTTTTCCCTTTTGTAAATACGACTGTTGTCCCTGCATGTCAACACATTAACAGTCTCCAATGAACTTTTATCTATTATTTATTGACACTGCAATTCCTAAAAAAAAAAAAATCTTATTGGACAAATTAAATTACAAAGTGAATAAATATTGAAAATAAAAATGAAAATGTGCATTTTTGCAATAGCGCTGTGCTTCCAATGGGGATCTGCCCCCAACTTTGGGAACCACAGAGTTAAGCTATTAGCTTTTTTAATCTCAGGCTTTAGAAGCTATAATTTCCCTTTCAGAAGCATATTTGTCAAATAAATGTGTTACTTAAATCTGCGTGACATCTTTTTCTTTGTCTTTCAGGTATCCAGTCACATTCAGGTTCTGGCTCGACGAAAAGCCAGAGAGATCCAGGTGAAGCTGAAGGTACGCTACGTGAGTCACTTTCAATCTTCTATTAATTAAACACTTTGGGAGAGTAATATGGACCCTATCAACGTAACAATTAAAAATAAACACCATTCGATTTTATAACAGATATTGTAACAAATATTTTATCTTTGCATATTACCATAGAACATTGAAGTAGTGCAGCGAGCATGTTTCATTTTCATTAGAAAGGGAGTCATAGAGGGGGCTTTGATCATAATCAAACCTTGTGCCTGCATCCAGTGGAGGATATTACCAAGACTTTATTGAGATTACCTTTTATTATTTCCTTTCATTATAAAGCTCTGTGTTTGTTAAATGTATTACAACGTCCGCGGTGCCTGCTTTGCCATGTTTTCACGTTCCATTAACACAAAGGCCCAAACCATTGGCTATTTTAATTGCACCGCCTAATTGATGCTAGTTTTAAATGGCATGCTTGCACATGATGATAAAATGTGAACGTTTTCTCCCCGGGAGCCCGAGGCTTACTGCGCACAATCACGAACCAAGTACAATTGTCAGGAAACAAATTAATCCCTGCATTATTCCTTCCAGGTATTACATTCAGTAAGTACAGCAATAAAAGTTTTTCTGTGTGTGTCTTCTAAGAGCTTACACATCCCTAAGCCCCCCCCAATACTTTCTCAGTTTACATTTCTCATCCACATATCCACAGCAGACAACAGGACTCTCCCTCTTACCTTGGACTGCAGCCACCAGGGTTCAGCTGGCTTAGCTTACCATTGGTCACGGGGTTTGCCCCTGTCACAGACCTTTTTTAAATACATCTTTGGTGTAACTGAGATCCCTACCACATATACCCCCCCATATTTCAACTATGCCCTTGTGTTATCCAGTTCTGGGAAGAAGAATGCTCTCTGTGGCCTTGCCTATTAGGGCTGGGCAGCAAGTTCATAAAGTCTCTGATGATCGGGAGTAAAACAAGTCTTCAGAAAAACCAATGGTGTTTTTCTCATAGAATATTACCATGCTCTACCAATTAAGGCATCAATTATTTAGCATCTTGCAATTTTTATGCCGTTATGATTAACATTATGGTTAACTTGTAACGCAGCAGGCGGCTCTGTCTTTCAGTGTGACCTCTAACAGAAGCTTGTTGTCATCAGCGGCTTTCCTCTGCCAAAGCAATAAACTCAACTCCTGGCCCAAAGGCCCTTGACTGTAATATCACCTTCTCTCCAGCTCTCTGTCTGGCTGGCATTCATGGTGATGCAAGCTGGCTTCATCCCTTCATTTCCCCTTTTAGGGCTCTGCCTGCGGTCCTCTTGGATTTGGGCGCTGACTTAAATGGAGTTTGATAAGTGCTCCTGGTTTGCGTAATCATCTGTTTGTCTTACTCTCACTCTCACTCTGACCCTCTCTACAGGATCAGGCTGCCAAAGACAAGGCCTTGCAGAGTATGGCCACCATGTCCTCAGCCCAGATCATTTCACCCACAGCTTTCCAGAACAAGATGGCGCTCCAGGGTCTGTCTAGGCCAGCTTATTCCACATCTGGTGGAGTAAGTTCCTAATCAGGATTCCCTGCCCTCGATAATTCTGATTACACTGAAACCATTAGTATTAAGGAAGAAAAAAAATCATTGACTCTATTCCAATATTTTTATTTTTATTTTAATGGCATTTGTAGTTTGCCTACATTCATACCACAGTTTGGACACTAACCCCATAAAGTTTCTGTAAGGTATTTGCCGCTGATCTAATTGTGTAAAAATACATTTTTCATTTTTACAATATGTTTACAAAGTAGACACAACAGCACAGTAGCTGAGTGAATATTATTAGTTTTAATTTACTCCTGTTTTCTTTTTTCCCAGTTTTGGCACGGGGCACTTCCAGGACAGCCAGGAAGCCACGAAGAGTGAGTTACAGCTGTTCCTGTTTTAGTAACTAATCTGAATAATCTGAGAGCAAACCAAACCAGATCAATTTGATTTTAAAGAAAGGGCCTCCACTCTCAGACATTCAGCCTAACACACTGTCAATGCTTCTTTTGAGGTCAGACAGTCTAATTAGTGTGTGAGATGGGGTCAAGAGGGTGAGACAGTTCATAACATGCCTTTCCTTCTCACCTGTCTCGCCCCTCCAGCATTAAGCCCTTCTCCCAGCAGACTTACACCATGCAAGCGTCCGGACCTGCCCCCATAACAGGTGGGTGCTTTTTCTCCCCCAGCTTTGTTGACAGAAGGCTGTCATGCCAGTAAAGTGATGAGACAACACAGCTAATGATGGGGCGCTCCCTCGAAGCAGAGACAAATAGTAATGATATCACTGTATTTTCAGGTTTTACATTGTCACATTCAGAAGACATATTTACACACTGACTGCCTTCTCGCTAGCAGGTTATGAAAGCACCGCAGGGCTATCCATGTCCCCAACTGCCCCTCCTTGGCAGGGCAGAAGTATTGCCAGCTCTAAGCTGCGAATGCTCGAGTTCTCTGCGTTCCTGGAACAGCCTCAGGACCCAGAATCCGTAAGTGGGTAAATCTGTTGATTGATTAATCGTGCCGCAATTTTTTATTTTTTTGATGTTAAAAATTGCGTGTTTAAAAGAAAAGGCAATTTACACTTTCTAACAATAAATAGAGATAAAATTCTGCTCCTTAGCAATCCATAAAATGTATTCATTAGTTTTTCACTGACAAGGCATTATTATAGAGTCTATCAGTAACAAAAACAAAGACAAAAACAAACCAAATGATTTAAAACTAGATTTTAAATATAGACAGCAAAGAATATGCCTATCATCAATACAAGATAAATACTGATAATAATATTACTAAAAAAATTCTTAAGATTCTGGAAGACATCTGTGCTCCTGATCTTTTTGCCTGTTGGTGGTTTATCATCAAACCATCATGTTATTATGACAAACACTAGTCACAAATTGTCAATAGAATTCTTTAGCAAAACAACATCACAAGACAACATTTCTGGATTTTAGACCAAGCCTAACATAGCTGCAATAACACGGATAAATGTTGATAAGCAACGTGAAATCATGTGATTATTAATGGCAGGAGAAGAAAGACAACAATGGGAGCTCTGTGACAGGTGACAGAGTTCCACAGTTAATGTGCTGTCCACAGTCCAACAGCAGGGTCAGTGCAACAGATGTCCTTGAAGCACTTGTCATTAATGGCAATTCAACAAACTAGTCTTTTCACATTTTTGGCAGCGTTCACTTCCTGACATTCACTTTTGTCTCATTCCAGTTCAACAAGCACCTGTTTGTGCACATTGGCCAGTCCAACCCCAGTTACAGTGACCCTTATCTGGAGTCGGTCGACATCAGGCAGATCTACGACAAGTTTCCAGAGAAGAAGGGAGGCCTAAAGGAGCTGTTTGAGAAAGGGCCACACAATGCCTTCTTTCTTGTCAAGTTCTGGGTAAACTTGCATCTTTGTCTTTGTTCAGTTTTTAAATGAATTCTAATGAATAGTCAAAACTTTTGATCCAGACCTATAAATTGGGCATCTGCGCATGTTTTAACACCAGAGCTAATAATAATCCCCTCTAAGGCATGAAGGTGAAGTGAGAGAACAGCGAATACTCCTGTTAATACACTGGTTTTGCAGCACCTGTCGTTAATGGTCTGGGAGTGTTAACAGCGTTAACAGCAATGGTTATGGCTCACAGAAACTTAAATGTGATTTAGACCCAGAATGAATGGAAAGTCATCGCTCCTATCACTTGAGTGGCTCTTAATACATCAGCAAGATGTTTATTGGTGTGTGTGTTTGTATGTGTGTGTTCTGGGGTACGTATCTATAAATACATTTACTGAAGGTAGGGGCTGTGAGGGTTGGAGTGTAATAGTGTGGAGACAGGTGTCTAGGCTCAAATTTCTCAAAGTGAAAGATCAGGCCTGCCACTCTCCCCCAAGGCTGTCTCTCTCACACATGCATCCACAAACTCAAACACACACAAACATAAAAGCACAATTGACTCCTCATATCAGCATACAGTGGTGAGACTTAAAATAAAGAAGCATCAGGACAACGTTGATCTTTGATGCAGAGATAGAGTAAGTGAGAAAGAAAGAGTATCAGTGTTTATATAAGTGTAATTGAGCATGTCTACTGTGAATATGCTTTCAGTCTGGCAGCCTTGCATTATATCAGTAGAAGACCTTTGGTATTTGCATCATGTACTACATAGACACACCCATCTATTTTTTTCCACCCTCTGCTCACATGTAAAATTAATCAGTTTTAAGCTAGTTATACATTTCTTCAAAGTACATATGATATTCATAAGTATGTGTAGCTATTTCATTCACAAAGTTCAGAAATCACAAAACCCACTGGATTGTGGAAAGACAAGGCATTAAACACAACACAGGAACCCCAAACACAAGGCATGAAAACAAAACCTCACAGCTCAATGATCACACCAAGCCAGCATGAGGGACAGAGGTATATATACCCAGGGCACCAGGTGACAGCAGTGAGACTAATGACAGACACAGGTGAGGGTGATGACACTAATCAACTCCACCCACAGGAGGAAAGGGAGACAGACAGCCCTCACAGTTCCTCTAAAATTAAAACCTTTAATATTAATGCTGATCACATGTTTGACTAGTGCTGTGTTGACATTTTGGATTAAATCATAAAGAGAAAAGTCAGAATTACATTACATAAGTACACCCTATTTATGACTGATGTTTAAACAGCACACTCCTTCATTTAGTCAATTCAGGGCCAATAACTGTTCACACTGGAGTCTGGAGTTGAAGCACTTTAATTATAATCCCTGCACAAAATATAACTTTCAGTGTGATGGTGTCTATGAAGTTTCCTTAAAAGCTCCTTAAACCCCAGACACCTCAGTGTCAGTAATTCATGTGACACAGGCTGTTTAGGCATAGCATAGCAGCTGATGCACAGCCACCTGCAGCAGTCTGAAGACTAACACAAAAACACAGTCATTGAGCAACTTTTACTTCCCCCACAGGGAACTGCCTTCAGAGTTTAGGTAACCATAATATTTTGTCCATCAAATATAAACACAACAAAAATAAATAAATAAATAAAAAACCCTTTTCTTTGTCTGCGTTAAAAAATATTTACACCATTGTCAGATGGACTGAAAGTATTTGTAATCCAATCTGAAAGTACTCAAAATATTCTGTAGTTAAGTTTGTCAAGCACAAACTGTGAATGTTCACGGCGCAGTCTCGCAACATTGTTGCACCGGATCTTTCAAGTTTTTTTATGTGTGCCATTAACCTTCACACGTTCAACTGCCCTTTTATTTATTATGGAGAGATAAAAGACATTGGTGAGTGACACCGCACTTGTTGTACTCTTCTCCGGTTGGAAAGAGCAGCTGGTCAAAGCATGGCATGTGATTCAGGGGTTGAAGGGAAGGTGGAGATGAGTTACCCAGTCGTATATCATAAAGGAAAAGAGAGTAAGAGATAGAAATAGGTCCACAGACAGTGTGAACAAGAGATTGGGGTGGCAGAAGAAACGGTTGGTGGCATGTGACCAACGAGTCATTCATCAGTGAAACTTTACCCTCCAGTTGGATGTCAGACCGTGCTGGAGTCAACAGTCGTGATATAGAGAATGCAGCTTTGATTCGGAGAAAAACAAGCCCATAACTTGTTCTTTCTCAGTCTGTTTATCTCAACATACCCAAGGGGTTCTGCTGATCTTGAGGCATCCATGTCAAAACACAGTAATCCTGCCACACCAAAAATGCTTCTGGCCATAAAAAAAAAAAAGAAAGAAAGAAAGAAATAACAAAATTAAACACTCAGCACATCTGTAAAACGTGCTAACCTTATTTTTGCCATTCTAAAAATGAGAAGAGCCTGTTGGACGTTTCCCCTGTGGTACTGCCTTGGGCAGGTCATGACTTGAGGACGTGATGAGGAACATGTTGGACCAGTGGCGGTGACAGGCAGCTGGACTGACTCCAAAGCTATGGTATTTTAGATTGAATTTCCAACAAACCGGCTCGATGGCCGTTGGCTGACCAGTTCCCCGCCTCCTGCTTTCCTCCTCGCCCCTTCAGTGCCATTGGCCCTGTCCTAACAGATTGTCTCACGCCTTTGAAGTGCAGAGGGAATCCGATTTAAGCTGCCTCTGTTAAATTGTTACACAGCCAACCTGCCCACCGTGATCTAATCAGCCAATTGCAAACTGATGATTGTAATTGGATGAATTCCCTCGCAGGCTGTTAGTGAAGCAGGGAATGGCGGTTCGTGGAGGGTCAGCGGGCCTCGGGGATGAAGACAAATAGAGAAATTACATGAGGTGGGGATGAAGATGAAGGGGGGATGAAGAGATGAAAGTGGGCTAAGCGGTGTCTCAATGGCCCATTAGGGGACAGGAGCCTGACAGGGGAAAAGGTAAAAACAGCTCAGCTGTCTGCCAGAGGAAACGGCACCTCAATCTGATCCCAAATCAGATTATACTCAGCTCAGTTCACATTTGAAGAAACATCACCAATAGATGAATTCAAACCCAAATTAATGGGAAAAAAAGAAATGTTATGTAAACAATCATTCACAAGGTGTCCTGGGAATCCTCAGACGGACGACTTGACAGCATTTCACTAAGTCAACAAGAATCTGGCCATTGGATGCCTCCTGGCTTTACAGAGAGTCACACATAGACTTTGTTGAGCTGCAACACTCTTGGTGACAAATCTTGTCAGGCACACACACATTCCTGAAGACCTGTAAGCAGGAAGCAAGACCGGATCTTCTGTCTAGGATTTTGGACGCTCTGTGTATTACAGCCCATTTACAGGACCTTCTTTTATAGGAAAAAAAAAAAGAGCAAATGCTGTTGAGGATTCTCTTTTCAGTTGTCCATTTCTGTGGAGAGCTGTAGTGCACTGTCTTCCTGACACTTCAATTTCAGATATGTCACAGTCATTCACTACAGTTTTTTTTTTTTTTTTTGGAGTCTTTAGACAAATGCAAAATCAGTCAATGTTTTTTCCAAGTCTTTCAATTTCTACATCTGCCATTTCTGTGTGGTGCAGTAGATTGGCTTCAGGGTGAAACTGACAAAAGGATATCTGTATTCTCTGTAGGCTGATCTGAGTATAAACCTGCAGGACGACAGCAGCTTTTTCTACGGTGTTTCCAGCCAGTATGAGAGCTCTGAAAATATGGTCATCACCTCCTCGACCAAAGTCTGCTCCTTTGGCAAGCAGGTGGTGGAGAAAGTAGAGGTAAGCTGTGTTTTATTCGCTTCCATTGTCTGGTAATACGGTATTAATAAGTTAATACGATCATGTACATACCATATCCATCAAAAACAACACATGAGCCTCTTCACACTCCTGCCTTAGGATGGCGCTGCATAAGTGTGAAGTCCAGAAGAAAAAGGCAGGCTAGCAGCTTTGACCAAGAGATACAGGCTTTGCTCATTTCAAAAACAGGAGTTCCTCCAGCGGTCTAAGCCTAAAGCAGCTTTAAAAGTGCTGACTCGGGGTCACCTCAGGGCACCAATATGAAAGTGGATTGTTCTGACATTCCACTGATTCGTGCTGTTGTGTATTCTCCATCCTGAGGCATAGCTTGTGTTCCACAAACTTCAATGGCAATGGAAGTGTTTGAAATGGCAGACTGACTGTGTGCAGCTCTGTTTGTGTCTGTTTTGCTGCTGGGCTTCATATTTGAAATCATAAGGTGATTGATTTCACAGTCTCACATTGATTTACATCAAACTACATTGCGTTTCCTAACATTTACATCACAGATTCAAACCTTTAAGCATTTTATTTTTGTTTGGAAAGATCTTTTAATTACAAGTATATACGTATGTGGCTCATTTCAAGACACTGTTTTTTTCTATAAACATTAAGAAATAATGAAAAAAAGGGAGTGAGAAAGTATTACTGCTGGAGATGAATTCTGGTCTTTTACCACTAATCTGTGGTCAGCAGTGACGTGATCCTCTAATCTCCCCTGCATGACTAAGTATTATGCTTCCCGTTAGCTAAACAATAGCGTCCCTGCCCCCACCCACTGCTGAGGGCTCGTACAATATAAACAATTACACACAGGTCCCATTGATACAGCCATCTGCCCCCACCAGGCCACATGATGATATTTAATGCCTCCATCATTTGATTATGGATGTCACAAGAAATATGTTTATTGTTCTGCCATATGCTGCATTAGGTATATCATATTACACATACTGCTGCTTATCAAAGTGAAGTCAACTCACATTTGTTAGAACATTTATCATTAATTTATGCTTTGTTTTGTTTTTTTCATATTTTACAAAGGCTTTTACCATTTGACCATTCATTTTGATTTATACCCTGTGCCATACAATATGAGCATACTTTCTACTGTGTACTCTTTAGGTTTCACTACATGTCCTCACTCTTTTTCTTCTTCTTCTTTTTCCCTGTTTTCCTAGACGGAATACGCACGTTTTGAGAATGGCCGCTACATGTTCAGGATCCACCGTTCCCCGTTATGTGAATACATGATCAACTTCATTCATAAACTCAAACATCTGCCAGAGAAGTACATGATGAACAGTGTACTGGAAAACTTCACAATCCTACAGGTACATAGAGACCATAGTAAGAAAGTGATAGTGATGTGAAATAATCTTTTCTATAACACTGGGGGTGAGGAGTCGGACTCTGACCTCTATTTTTCAGGAGTCTCATCCTGACTTTGACTCATGCACCAGTTAATCAGACATGAAGTCCGAACCCTGGAGACAAAAACAGACTCCTCCAATTCTTATGTATTTTCTGATGTGAGCACTAGAGAAAAGGGAGTAGATTTGGATGACTAAAATGCTAACGCAACCATGTCTGCCCAGTAAATTATACTTTTACTCAATTGTCTTTGCACTTTATTTGATCATTTCATTTTCATTACGTCATTTTAATGAATCATTCCCAAAATCTTAGCCAAATCACAGGTGTCTTAAAATGAGTATTTTAGAAAAAAAAATTTGCCCTTACGTTGCCATCCATATAAACCACTATAGGACTATAGCACTGTTTTAAGTCTGAAACCAATAATTACAGATTTTACTGTCATGCTTCCTAGTGGCAGCCCGAGGCGTGTTACAGTCTTCTGCTGTACATTCGATTTTTCTGAATAGGCTGCTGCTCCTTGCTGAGTGCTTAAAGACAAGGAAGTGAATAGACAGAAGTGTATCTCCATAGTAACAGTGACAACAAAAGCTGCATGACACTGCTGCCCCTTACTGTGGCGGCCGCATTCCTACTGGTAGAGGGACAATGACCATATTGAGCCCACACTGACGACGACATGGCAACATGTCATTAGCTTTCTCAATGACCTGATTTATCTCATATTAACCATGAACACACGCAGCCACACACACACACACACACACCAACGCACACATTGACAGCACATGCTTGTACACAGATTCCACACTGCCGGGCCGAGCACAATGGATCAATACGGCTCATTTAACGAGTATTGTGTTCGGCATCGGGCGACAACGTGCAGTTCTGCCACACAACTCTGTGTTTTAAACCCAGACTAGTCTGGGATTGAAAAGAACACAAGGGACAAAACGTACAGAGATTGAACTATTGTACCAATATACCTGTAAAACTATCAGGAAAGGATCACTAGCGTTTTCATAGATAATAATAAGAATGCAGTTTTGATGTAATACACAGTCTATACAGGTGTTGTCATTTACACACCTTGATGGAAAGAGTTATTAATTCACCCAAGCTCCTCAATCTTAAAGTACAAGCATCCATTTGTAACTCCAACCAACACAAGGCTGTAACTGAGTCTCTGTTTAGATGAAGGAATATGAGCACAATGTCATGTTTGCAAACAGTACCAGGAGCTTCGTTTACTGCTGTGACACATCTATTCTTGTGGGTTGTTTGTCCACAGGTGGTCACCAACAGAGACACGCTGGAGACCCTGCTGTGCATAGCTTATGTTTTCGAAGTGTCCACCAGTGAACACGGAGCACAGCATCACATCTACAGGCTAGTGAGAGACTGACACAGTCACACACTTGGAACTCTACCGCTCTAGTCCCACTGTAGCACCGCGGTAAACAACAACACTCTACAATGGACGACTTCCTCCCTCTGTTCAGCTCAGAGCTGGAACCTCACCACTCGGTCTGGAGCCCAGAGAAACGCTGGCTTTGTTGGTGAGCCAAGCAACACAGTGACTGCTGAGGAAGAAGTGAATCTGTGGCTGTGGAGGCTGACGCAGGATTTTAAAGGAAAAAGTGAAAAAATAAAATAAAATAAAAACTGACGACACACTGTGGTCAAAGGAGCCAAACTTAGTCAACCATATCTGCATGTGAGAGTTGTCATTGGTGGTTTTCGTCTCATTTTATTAGTGTTTTTTTTTTAAGTTAGATTCTTTGTGTGCATGTGCAAGAGATGTTTGCTACAGAGTTGGGCTGCCTCAGGGTGCCACCTGCTGACGACAATAAAAATGGCATCGAGGAAAATTATGGAAATTTAGGCGAGTTCCTCTTTTGCACCTTTATTGTGTATTGAGTGTTTTTCGTGCCGATCAGTTGATACTTGCTGAGGATTGAAGTAATTATGTACAGTGCCATTGAACGAAGAGGATTTAGAGAGCTGTTGTAATCTCTTTGTTTGATGTTTTGTGTTTTTAGTATTGTCTTACTGTCTGGCTACAACAAAAAGGCACATAATAACAACATCCTAACTTGAAGAAGAACTGTATCTGTAACTTGCCCTGAAGAGTCGTATTACGACAAAAGTGTACCTTTAATAATTGCTCTGCTGAGGGTTGGATTCAGTGTTGTGGTTTAATACTGTAATTATTATTATTCCACATGGAAGATTCTATGTTCTGTGTTTTTTTTTTTACATGCATACATTACATTTGTGGGCAAAGCCTTTACATTTGCTGATACTTTTGGACATTTGACTGTCTCTAAATTATATCACTGAGGTTACAGATCACCCAATAAAAAGATTTGAAGGTTGAAGCAGTAGATAGTTTTTTAGTATTTTTTTTAACCGCAATCAGTCTATAGATGTACATATACAGTATATAATATACACAGGATGGGTACCAAAGATTTTAAATATGACCGTTTTATATTAAAGTCTCTCTAATAGAGAAATTGTAAGATAGAACTAAATATGTATATAACTATGATACAAAATTAAAATCTAATTTAAATGTAAAATGAAAAAAATCTATTTCCAACGTTGTAGAAAAGTCGCAAAATAAAATAACAACAACGTATTGGAATCTTATACATCGGTATATTTGGGAGTTCATGTTGCCATCTACTGGTGTTAGGTTGTAATTACATTTTGCTACTTGTACAGTATTTATTAAGAAATGTATTTAAATCACAAGGCCGAATTTGCGGACAGGTGACGGTAACACACTGGACCTGTTTTTAAAATAAATAATTCAAAAATAATTATTTTCACCTTAGGTTCTAACTTATACAAATAAAGCAGTCAGCGTCAAGCTGTAAACTGGGAAGAGAACGCGACAATAACGCAGAGAGTGAGACTAACAGCCTGACAGATGCTGCATCTCCAAATGTAGAACACAGATGGTCGGCTTATTCTGAAAATCCCATTTAAGAGAATTCAGCCAGATTGCTACAATTATGGGAAATCCACTCTCGGACGTCTGACCTCTCTCTGAGAACAGGCAGGTCTTGTTTTCATCCACTGAAAACAGGGACAGAGGATATTTATAATCTAGACGCACGACAGACACACACACACACACACAGATTTTAGCGAATTGAATTTCCCATATTCCCCTGTAGGGGGTGCTGTAAACTCATTTGGAGTCAATGGTCCATGAGTTAAATTTTAACTAATTTAAGTTTTGACAACTGAGTCAACGACCAATCACTAACTGGCTCTGGGTACTATATGGTTGTTTGACTTGAGAGCGGAGCTCAAGCAATTTAGTGGAGCTGTGCACCTCCAGAGATCTATTTTAAATCACCCTTTAATCCCTGACCTAAATCATAGAGATGATGGACATGGTATCTTGATACTATTTGATGATGTGTTCAGTTTAACTTAAAGTTACAGCATCCCCTGGAGTCTCCGTGAACGGGATCATTGTAATGCTGGTCAGGACACGCACCGTTACGCACAGCTCCACCTCCTACAGGTGCGTAACTGTGAGTCACCTGCACATGAACTGGTACCAGTAAAACCAGAACCCCGCTGAGTCCACCCCATCCCTGCGGGTCCCATCCCAGCGGTCCGCTCCTCAGACATGCGGCAGGTTTCTTCATGTTACACTACGACATGCTTTAATCCACAGTCCGCGCCATGAACGTCACATGGGGCCTGCTGACGGTACTGAGTGTGGTGTGCCACACGGAGTCCAGGTGCTCACCCACCACCTACTATAAGAACTGCTGGATCCGACGCTTCCCGGGGATTTTCATCGACATCGCTGAGTCTCAGAGGAGAGGAGCTCAGCTCCTCAGGAGCTACCAGGAGGAGACGGCGCTGAAATGCAGCCGCACCTGCTGCCTGACCAGAAACTGTGAGTGTAACATTTTACCGTAGTATTTAATTGTAATGGAGCCGCTGACCACTTGCTTATTGTGGAGCCGTGTGCGTGTTTGATTCCCGCAGTCTCCTGCAACCTGGCCATATTTCACTATGATGTCACCCATGAAAACGTCAACTGTTTCCACCTGAACTGTCCGACTCTGGAGAGCTGCATCCTCAGCCACAGGGGGAACGTTGTTCTCTACAACATCACAAAAGGTGAATATGACAGGGGTTTATGTGTTCGGAACTATTCCAGAAATATTCTGCATCTGTGCTGCCTGCTTCCCTGTCCGTCCGTATATAACAGTTCATCACAACTTTAGATTTGCCGAACTGGTTTCTATTCTATTCTGTTGTACTGCATTCTATTTCCAAATCATTTGAACTAAACCTCAACACATGTATTATTGTCTTTAATGCTCTATACAAGTCAGATAAATAGGACAAATTAGGTGTCTGTCTGTTGACCATTAATAACTAACATGTAGTCACCAAAACTTTCAATTAAAACACAGCAAAAAAGTAAAATTATCCAATAGCCAAAATTGCTAAGGAAAAAAATTTAAATAACAATAAAAAATACCAATGGAAAATTATAACATACCATAAATATCTGCATGCTTTTTAAAATAAAAGTTACATACATAACTTGTAAAAAGTGTATAGATTTAGCTAAAAATTGCTAAATTACGACAGTACTGCACACAAGTCTCAATATAGCTAAAAGTTAGCCAAAAAAGTAAAATTTGCCAAAATCAGTTCACTTAAAGCACAACATCTAAAAGGCGACCAAAAAGGTTATGTCCCTATTTGAAGTAATACTTTAAGTAATACTACTACTCTTCTCTCAGGGGTGGATCCTGACCTGCTTGTGTTTGGAAAGTATTTGACCTCCAACGTGCGAGTGTTGCCCCATCACTACAGTCGAGCCAACGCCTCAGAGCCCCTGCCTCCGGACAAGCGTCAGTTCATACATCCACCTTTGCCCCCTGCTCCTCAAATGACACCATCCACCACGAAACCATCCACCACAACAGGCAGAGTCCTCACCACCACTGCGGCTGACACTACAGCGTACAGCCCCACTCAGCCTGTAACACCTACAATCGCTTCACCCTCCACTTCACCCGCTTCTCTCCTCGACTCGGGGAACACACTTCCCCCCACCTCCAGCGGTTTCGTTGCTTCCACCTTAGCTACATCTTCTTCACCCATTACTGACACCACCCTGCACGAATCCACACCTGAGACACCTACTGTCTCCACCACCGCCACTGCTTTGGCCTCCACCGTGACCAGCGCCCACCTTCACGCCACCACTTCCTCTCAGTCCACCGCCAGTCCTCAACCTAACACAGGAAGTATGGAAAACACAGCGGTCAGCATTCATTACCCCAACGACACCAAGGACACACTGGGGAGGAACCACACGGCAGGAGACGAGGGGGTCAGCGGAGAGGACCCCACAGGACTGGGGCCTGAGTGGCACGTGGCCGTCCACACCTTGCTGGTGGCTGTGGGCGTCTGTGTCACGGTGCTGCTCAGCTGCTGCTGCTCTGTGCTGCTGGTGGTGAGCTGGAGGGGGAGGAGGAGGAGAAAGGGCCGCTATCGAACAGAGTGGAGAGGAAAAAGAGGCTCCATGCGCCTGATAAAGTACGTGCTGGTCAGAGAATCTTCCTGAGAGACAAAACTGCACCAGCAGATGTGACGTTTCTGATGTTTGATGTGAATGGAACTGAATGAGAAAAAAGATGTTAACTTTTCTTTTCTTTTTTTTACCAATTTTTTTCTCAGCTTCTGCTTGATTTATTAGTCCCAGTACAAAGATTATATTGGCTTCTGTAGATAGAAATAAGAAGATGATTTTAAAAAGAAAGAATAGTGCATTTATTCCAGACAATTTGGCCTGGAAAATATACTTCATGTATGATATGTATGGTTTAATAACTCTGTTTGGTCAAATGAGACCAAAGTAGAACCCCTTGGTCTTTAAAATGATGGTTACATTTGAAGAAGGAAGGGAGAGGCACTGAACCCAAAGAACACAGTCCCCATAGTTCAACATAAGGATGAGCGCAAAATGTGGTTCAACAGACAATTCAACAGCAGGACTTGGTCTCAGATATTTAGAGGCACCAAAGTACATTATTCTGCTTGATTTTAACTGAAATTTCACAAATTCGACAATTGAATTCAAGCACTGCAATGTGTCCCAACAGAGTAGAACCAATGTTCTCCTATCTCCTGTATATCACACCTTCGAGAGAAGAAAAACATGACGCAACAAACTTTCTAAGAAAACGCCTCTTAGTTAAAATGGATATCAACCTATAATTGTCTACATAAAGTGTTGTCCTTTATTGGATCAAATGAAGAAAAACAACTCCCCCAGTGGTGGCCTTCAGTGTTTAACCTTTTTACATCTCACTGCATCGGGTTTCTTCTGACCTAAAAGTGAACGAACCAGTACTGGAAAACTCTTAAAAGGAGAGTGGAGGTATTTTTGTACAGACCGCAGAAGAAAGCGTTCTTTCACTTGGTCTGATTTACTCCACTCGACCTGACAGTGACACAGCTTGGAAGGACCCAGAACTGACAGAGCGCGGTTTGGATGACTTACATTGAAGACATAAAAAGACAAACACGTTTTTTTTTTTTTTTTTTGCTAAAATTTTATTGAACATATTGCATCTGATGGAATAAATATATGATGCACATGGTCGTAGATTAACACGTTGAATCATGGTGTTGAGAATGCTGTTGAAATGATCCCGACACAGACTCATGTTTCTGTTTGACACGGTTTTAATGACGGTACACTGGTTTATAAAACTTCGATCACAGACTCAGAACTTTCTTGACTGCCTCTTTGTACTGACGCATGGTGCTCTCACTCTCTCCTTCATTCTTCAGCCTTGACACCGAGTCCTTATACTCCTGCACTTCTTGCCTTCCCAGCAGCTGCGCTTTCACCTCGTCACCTTCTCCTTCTCCGGCCACCTTCATGCGTATTAATGTATCCAGAATATTCTTTTGTGATGTGCTGTCCTCCCAGATGTATTCCTCCATGTCTGCACGGGTTTTCTCAGCCTCCCAGGGCTCTATTTTCTAAAGATCGAAAACGACAGAACAGTGAAGATAGTGAAGATTGAAAAATATGTCCAACATGAAAAGAAAGTTGGACACATTTGCACAAAGGATGGTGCATTTTTCGGGAATCAAAACATCAGGATGTACGTCATCAGTAATTGTTTGAAGTTGGCCTCTACTTTTGAATCGCCTTATGGCAACAGATGTAAAGTACAGGGGTCGCCCCCTTCTTTGATGCTTCTCTCACAGAGATAGTATTTCTCCATATGTCCAACTCTGTCCACTGCTCGTCTTGTCGTCGTTACATCCCCTGAGGAACAACGGGCTTCTTTGTGCAGTCGCTTGAAGCGTAGACGGAGCCTGAGCTCTGCTGCTCTGCAGGTGTTTGAGGTTAATGACCGTCATTACGGATGTAAGTATCTGATACACATTACATCCTGTCTGGACTGAATCCAGGTAAAAGTAAGTCGAGGGAAAATAAATACAGTTTGGAACAAAACATTTTACTTTACGAGTATTTCCAAAGTGTTTTTTTTTCCTGAGCAAAGAACTTTCACAAGCAGCTTTCTTAGGCATACGAGCCTTGTTTTGGAAGCACATATTTTAGTACTTAACTTCGCATATGGAAACCCCTTTAAAAAAGCCCAAGGTCAAACATTCTTTGCTTACCTCAAACGTAAGCTTTGTCTTATTTTCTGCTTGGAAATAATATTTCTATCAGTGTCGACAATTCTCATAAAAACACATTATACGGAGTGAAATAGCTTAAAAACAAATGAAAGATTTTCCTTCAATTCGTTACTGTGTCTTTTTTTTTTCTAATAATTTTTTAAGCAGCTTAATAAAACCAGTAGGTACAGAAAATTATGCATTAAAAGAAAAAGGCCCATTGGACATAAAGAAAAGCCTGGTGTAGGACAATTAAAAGTTATGTATCTGCAGTGAAGGGAAAAGGTGGATGTTGCACTGCAGCAGATGACGGTGCCTCTAGTGGTCAATGTTCTGTCGTATGTTTTTGGCTGCTTTAAGTACTCAGTTCCACACTGGCGTGGATTAGCACACGGTGAAGTTAGCAGTGAAGGTCCGTCTCCCTGAGTGCGGAGATAATATCACCTGAGTGACTGCAGACAATTGGACTCTTTGTAGGCTATCGTTACAACCTGAACTCTACGCCACTCTCACAACTTCCACAAGTCTGCTGGCCAAGCACTGTACCTTCCATTGTGTGAGTGAAAGGGCAGCGGACAGTGTTCTACCTCCTGATTTGGACACCTTTCCCAGCTGAGAGATTTTCACTTAATGTGACTCAGTCACTGAGGCTGAAAAAGTCAATCCAGAAGTTGCACAATATTCTACCTGCTAATAGATGTTCAGAAGCCAAGGACAGGGTTTCTTCTTAATAGGAGAAACACAGATTTGGTGAAGTTTGGTAAAACTTGCATCTCTTATAAAAAGACCAAAATATCCTAATGCACCATGAAACACGACGCCAAAGACCCCTGCAGTTAAATAACGTCATTAGTTGATCACCTCTGAAAGGTGCACAGAAGAAACGTGACAGTGGGTCATCGGTACAAGTAACGCCAAAGAGCAAGCAGCCTTTAAATGAATGGGTGCTTGTTCAAAGACGATGAAAGGTCAGTAAACAAAAAGGGACCAAAGAAAAGGCCACAGTCACAGGAGACCTGTGAGGAAGGTGGACAGAGAAGAGACACGCTTGTCCCAGTTAACCTGGTTAAGGAGGAGAGGGTTTCGCTGTACAAAATGGATCCTCAAAGGCCCGGATGAGAGAACCTGACATTTGGACATTTTACTCTGTTGTTTGTCTTAAGCTCAGGCAACAGTGACACAGCAGGCAACCCTAATGAGACAGAAAAAACAGTCTCCACTCACCCATGACTCGTGGTAGAGGACGGTCAGCAGGTACATGGCATAGTCGTAATTCTGTTTTCTCAGAGGGCAGCTGGGAAAAGAAGGATGGAGACAAGATGTTACAGTGACTTTTAAAGACTAAATAATGTTTATTAAGTAATATTTTCAGGTCAGATATACAGACTAAATAAATAACATTTTTACCTGTCTGTTGTGATGGTAACGATGTCCGAACTTTTGCAGTATTTGTTCCCCACAAGTTTGATAAACTTTTTGCGTGCATGATCATCCAGACTCAGACTACACAACTTCACCTGTGTTAAAAAACAAACAAACAAACAAACAAAAATCAACAAAATCACAACAGAAATAAATCTGCTATGCTATGTCGACTGAAATACTTTTCACACATCAAGTCACTGCTTTAACGTTGTTGATGAAAACAATACTAAGAATGGTAAATTAAATCCCTTTAGTCACCAAATAGGTCAGATAAAGTTTATGGTGCTATTATATTAAGATGTTCATGTCATTACAATGGCCGTCTATCTGCAGCATCTGCAGGCAGATCAAACAATTGTATCACATTCATATGAAAATTAAAAAAGTATTTTAACAACTCACTCTGAGTTGAACAATTCGGGCGGAGGGGTTTCTAAGAGACGGCCCAGCAGACACGTAATCTGTGGTCTCTACTTTAATGGGAAAATGCTGGTCACATTTGGCATCAGTGTCCAGGGCCGAGGGCCACTCTGTACAGAACGCTGATGGCACAGAAAGACAGCAGAGAACAGTGTTACATATCTTTGTAAATTCTGGACTTTCATAATAATTTTTACGCACTAAAGTTCAGAACTTACGTTTTAGAGCTTCACAGTGTTTCTTAATGGCGGCTGGTGTCAAATGCAGGAAGTTTGGGATCTGAAAAGAAAGAAGTTTGAATTTCAATGATCACCGCAGGCGATTAATATTGATAAATACATTAGGACTGATTTACAACTGGATTACTTTGAATAAAGAAATGTGCACTGTAAAAACATTGACATAACATAGCAAAGAGCAATGGTCGCTTCACAACAGACAGTTGAGTCAGACCAGTGATTCTTCCATTTGCTGTTTTACTGCTCACCTTGATAAGCTCCAGATTGCCCTGCTTTTCTGGTGGAACACCTCCTTTCACGGGGTAGCCCATCCTGACAGGTAAAGGAACAGCATTTGGTCTGAAGGGCATTGCTGATGGATAAACTGCAGTCCAGTCCTGCTCCACAGACATCCTCTCTGTTCGGGGCTCTGCCAGCTGGTAAGATTATAAACAATAAAGACCAATTAAATCACTGTAGTCACCATCTTTACAAGTTGCATTTGGATTGTTTTCAACAATCCTAAAGAGTACAAAGAAAGCAAACTACTTACTTCTCTCCTGGGATTCTTCATGGATCCTCTACCACCTCTTTCAGAGGGACCTACAATTTAAGCAACACATGTAAACCGTAAAAAATCAATTATCAAAAGATTTGTCAGTGTAAATTTAAAAATACACACACACACACACACACACACATATATATATACACTGTATGTGTGTGTATGTGTGTACATGCATGACAATAACTTGCTTTTTATGTGTATCAATATTCTTATTTTGAATTTGTGAGTTATTTGATTTTATTTATACAGATATTTTTATTAGTTATTGATATGTGTGTGTGTGTTTTTAAAAATTGAAAAGACCTGATGCTACAAAATATACACATGCAAAAAGGCTGCATTTACTTGACGTGGAGCTAACTATACTGGCTAATATAAAGTGATAAGAAGATCTTTTTGGAAGGTTCAGAGGGTTGCTGACGTTGATGAGATTAGAGGCCTGTCACCGTCGTCGTTTTGAGAGAGAACACTTAGTAATAGTAAATGACTGTGAGAGAACATGAGGTTCCTCAAATGGCCTCGAAAACAGTATTTCTAACAATTAGCTTAGCTAAGCTTCAGTCTCTGTGAACGTCGATGCACGGACAACAAAACTCACCTTTGTGTCCAGCAGTGCGATTTAGAGACAACGTCCTCGTGTACGTAGCGCCGTTTATAGTTTTATGAACTCCTAGAAAAATAGCATTTATTCGACCCAGACACAGAAACACCTTGCTACTGTGGGAAGCCATGTTTCCACAATGACTACGGTGCTCAGCAAGGGTAAAAAGAGTGAAAATCGCATCGAGTGACTCATTCTGCGTGGAATTGTTATTTGGCGACCCCTGCAGCCAAGTGCAGGTAGTGAATCACAGCTGATGACCGAGCCAACAGCATTCGTGTACTTACTAGGAAAATATTTAAAGATTTCAGATCCTATAATAGAATTAACGTAACTCGTATTAATTAAATGCATCATCTAGCGTATTCTTTACAAAAGCTTTTCATCAATAACGTATTAAAAATGTATTTTTGAATTATACACGTATTACTTTTCATAAACTTTTAAATAGTTTCCACTCCACATTTGTTGTTTTGAATTTTTTACAGCACGCAGTTCTGCATCCTTTGACATTATTACGATTATGTATTATATTGGCTTGTTTCAAAAGAATAGAAAAACAACATAAATTACTTGGGAATGAGAATAATTTTATATATTCTAGGTTTGGAATTCTTAAGATTAAATTGTATTTTCGGCAAAAAAAAATAAAGAAATTATCAGCAATGCCATCTGTCATTCCTCTTTAATCTGCATTTATACTGGTATATGTTTTGCGCCGACGTTCGACAGGCGGCTATCCGTCCGCCTGTCCAAGTCTTCAGACGCATTCAAATACCCTCGTAATTCTTTTCTTACGCAGAATATTATACTACAAGGAAAAACGCTATTATATATTATAGAATAGACCTTACAACATATTTAAAACTTGTTGAACGGCATATTATATGTTTTTGTCGTTTTGTAATTTAACTGTCAGGTCCAAGCATAAGTACATTTAATATTTGGATATTTGTAATATTTGGATGTTTTTGTTTTCATTTTATTTGTATAATATTTATAGTTTACAGGGTCATATAAATAGTCTATTATTATAGACTATTTTAGACTACCATTTTTTACATTTGCAGTGCATATCCACATTGCACTGAATATAAAAATGTCCAACAATCTTTGAATGCATCGACGGTGCTGAGTGGAAGAAGCGATGCTTTTCAAAGACAGTGGTCCCACAGACAGCAGACGGATGAGGACCTGCGCTTTCACTGCACGTCACATTAGCCGCATTATCAAGGACTGTTACATATTTATATTTTATTTTATTTATTTATTTTTTACAAGAACTTGTTTTCTCGGAAAACAGCCAGTGAACCTGTTGCGCGTGTTTTCATTCTAATATTTTGCGCCGTTAAGAACTGCGCTCCAGGAGTTTGAGGTAAGGTTTGATATAATTAGTTTGACCCTTAGAAAAAAAGTATAATAAGTAACTAAGTATTTAAGTAAGTAATAAGTACGAAGATATTGCTTCTTTTTCAAATTATGCTTCATAAACAAACCCTCTACCAGTCCGGTCAATTTAAAACAACGGGGGTGTTATAAACTGAAACTTAACGTCTTTTTTCATTTAAATTTGACCGTTGGCCTGTCACTTCTTTTGTGCCCCCTTGTCACAATACAGTGTAACCGTAGAGTCCCACTCCCCGCAGGAGCCTAATGCATGTCAGTGTGTGCCTCACGACTGGACTTTTACAGGCAGAAACTCTATCAGCGGTGCGTGTGGCCGCTGTCATCGGTTCATCTGCGGCCGAGGACAGATGTGGACGTGGTGACTGCTTCCAATTAGTCCAGCTCTCTTGTCCGATGAGACTTTTTCCGATCCATTTAGGCGACATCCGGCCATCTATCACACACTACCTGACAGTGTCTTTACAGAGAGGCCACCCAGAAGCTCTTTTAACCTTTGGTACGATAAATAATTGAAACACCTCTCTGTTTGTCCGAAATAAGGTTTACACTCGACCATTTCACAGCATCAACATTTAGGATGCTCTTAACCAACACTCTTATCTTCTTTTTGTGTAACTTACTTTGCAGTGATCCGTTTAGTTTGTGACTCAGATTTGTGTTTGTCATAGCCAAGCACTTCTCGACTCGAAATGTTTTTGTTTACACGAATTGAATACAATATTTATGAAAAAAGTTGTTATACATGTTGTGTTGTTATAGTGGCATCATTTTTACTTCAAAAACAAATATATTCCACATATGGGAATTTCTTTTTTTTTCTAATAGGAGATATTGGATTATTATTATTGTAGTGTGACAACTGCTAATTATTGTTCAGGAGACTAAGCTTTGCACTCTAAATAATCCAGTGTATTTCAGGACAGATGTTAAATCATTTGGACATTATGGTGAGAGGATTATTCTATCCCAGTGACCCATGTTGCTTTTTAATTACAGGTATGGACACACGTGCAGCTGTGCAGGGAGAGCTTTTGTCCACAGAGGCTAGCTCCCCATGCCCAGCTGGATGTCTTATTCTGTAGGTGTGTAGGATAAAATATTTGCAACTTCCAGGGAATTTCAAGTACTCCTCGACTCCCGTTGAACTTGACCAGCCATCGGTGCATCATGGAGGAAAGACGGGCACAAGCCTTCCACATGACCTGCCATGTGCAGAGGGACTGTGGCAATCGGCTCGGGAGCTCCTTTCTTAACTTCAGTCCCAACGGATATGCCAGCACAAGCCTTAACCTCAGCTCGGAGTTGGAGATGGACGCTGACCTCACAGCCTCCACAGGAAGTACAGTCAGGAGTGCTGCTGTACATGACAGAAGCCACTACTCTCCTGTTTCACTGGAACTGGACCCCACGGCAGTGAATAATGGATCACACATTCCCTGCTGTCTACCAGCAGACACAAAGGACCCGGTGCTGCAGATAATACAGGACCAGCCGTCTGCCACCTCTGTCCCACCACCTCTCCCTCGTTCGAGCTGGCTGCATCACCACCAGAAGGATTTCCAGAGCCCTTACATCACGACTAGCATGCAGGGTGATGTTTACAATTTCCTTGAGAGACCTGCTGGGCTGAAATGCTTTCTCTATCACTTCCTTGTGTAAGTACCTGTTATTTTCAGTTAACACTGATCTCAGTGTTAACTTAACCCAAACAGACTTGGGGTCAGTTTGGGTGAAGTGCAGATTTAAGTAGACGACCGGAGAGAGGGACTCAAAAAATTTGAATTTTCAAATTTAAATAAACAAAAAGGAGGGCATAGGGAAAACAGCCTTAGTGAAAACAATGTGAGAAAACAAAGTGAGTCAAAGCAAGTAAGTCAATGATGAGGGAGGCCGAAGTGATTCTTTTTTCTTTTTTAAAAAGAACCAAAAAATAAACATAGCCACAATGAAGTGTGACTTTTAGCAGAGCTTCAGAAAACTTGTAAAAGTTTTTGCCAGTGTTGAGTATTGGACTCAGCAGGGTGAGCATGTTCTCTCTCCATTTACTCCAGTTCCTGTTAATTACATCTAGTGCAGCTCTTTACAGTATTAGGTTTTGGTTCCCAGTAACAGAAGGCGAGTTAACTGTAGCCTGCTGGTTGACTGTAGGTGTTTGCAGGTCAGTTTGATCTGGTCAGCTACACCTTTGGCCTTGATGAGCTCGGTCTTTTCTGGTCTTCTTCACTGTAAGTGACCACCAACCTCATGCATTAAACATGGAGCTACCTCCCTCAGGCTGCTAACCTGACCTGCTAACGGTGCACACTGACCCACAGTTTGGACAACTTCATATTAATCATATAAGTTACTACCACAAGTGAAACTGTCTCTCCTTTATTGGTATTAAAATGCTCACAGTGCAGTGTTTTAGCATGTTGTAATCATTCAAACTGGACTACAGTGTGTGACTAGTGATACAGACAGTGATTTTCATTAAATTTAAAATAAATATAGTATTAAACAATGACTGTACTTGAGGTAAAAAATATTAAAAATTCTAAAAATATTAAATTTCCCATTGGTATATGGTCATCCAACTACAAAATATATTGTACATATAATCAGCTATATTTTATTTATTAGACATTAGATTTTTAAGAAATTCCTCTTAAGTAAATGATTTATTAATAATGAATTTAGCATCTGAAATTAATAAAAAATTGAGGCATTTTTATCTAGTGCAAAAGAAGGTTGTTACTTTCATGGCCACAAATAGCCTCTAACATGTGACAACAGGTTCTTGCATGATCGCTGAGGAATGCCACGGCATCGTACCACACGTATTACAATAGTAATCCCAGATCACACGGATTAAGATCAGATTAGAAGAAAACATGAATGATAAGAATAGAAGTTCAGCTGGAGTCCCACTGTTGACCTCTGTTTACATTTATCTCAACTATTTAGTACCACAGAGCTGTGTATAAAATGGATATATCTGACTGTTTGACATGTGAAAGGTTGAGTGAATAAATAAGAATTCTGTTTCATTTCATTTTTTAAACCTATGATTTAAACCAAAGTTAAATTAAATATAATGTTATACACAAATACAAATGCTGTAAGTGTTCTGTCCGTACACAAGTGAATAACCATTTATTAACAGAGTGAGAATTTGTTGTGATCATTTTAACTTTTTCTTGTTTTCTTAACAGTCATAATACTACTGTTCATCTAAGGTATATGGAAACCTGATGGCGATTAGGTCAACATAGCTGTAAATCTGTTCTGGCAGAAATTTGGGCTCAAATGTTTTTCTATCACCCGAGCCCATCCTTCATTTAATATTAAACCTTTCTGACTCATCCCCCCCGACAGTCCCTGAAGCAACTTTTGTCGATGGTTATTGCTGGTGGCCATCTATTTACCTGGCCAGCCCAGAGATTGGCAGGGGTGAAGTGACACATAAAGAGCTGCATGACAGCCTTAATAGACTTCTATTAGGCTTGGCTAACACACACACTCATGCACACGCAGTCACAGCCCTGAACCTTTGACAAACCCTAACCTTATCCATGTCCTTTGTCCCCAGTCGGAAAAATCTCATTTTAATTGGTCCTTAATCCGTGCAGTCCATCTGGCTCTGTCAATATAAGAAAAAAAAACAGCATCAGCATGAGAGACAGTGGCATGTAGGCAGTCGGTGTATTTTGTACTGTACTGTATGTGTACTAGCATTAAAAAAATGGTTTTCATTTTTTTGTATCTTTTTTGGCTACAAGCCCAGAGATGGGAAATACATCACGTAATCTTTAACTTTATAAGGATGAAACTGTCAGAGTTAGAGGATTCAATAATGACTATGTCGACCAGAAAAACACATGATGGTCAGATATAAACAGAAGACATGTGTCCCGAAAAGAATCTTATGCAATTGCTTTGCAGACTCACTGGCAGATAGACGATCTCGGGCCACGCCCCCTGAGTCTTTTACATAACCGTAGCAGAATAAACATTTATGACGTCATGATTTCTAAACACCCTCCTCAGAATGTAAGCAGATTACAACTATACCTCTTCGTTCTATCTGCTAAGTTTAACGTGTCATCTTCATGCAGACCTAAAACTGTCCATATGTAAACAAAAGCCAAAGTAAACGATTTCTATTCTCCAGCATTGCACCTTTTAAAACTCATGAATCTGCACCAGATGTTGCCTGGACTACTTGGTCTCTGTGTGTATTTTTATATCTTGGACAGATTATTGAACAGGCCGTGGAAATGCCTCAGTTTCTAGGCGTTCTTTTCCATCGGTGCAAAATATGAGTAAAGGAAAACTCTGTGAGTACAAGAGATTTACGAGAGATTACCGTCTGACGTGAGTCTAATGTATGCGTCACTTCCACTTCTCAGTTCTATTTTGCATCGACTAGAGGAGAGATTATGCCATTTTCTGCAAAAAAACAAAAATGGTCTGTGTTCTCAAATTAATTTTAAATTATTGTACACATGCAGGGTGAAGGAGGAATGAGTTAAAAGTTCAACTGCACGGCCCCCTAATGATAAACCTTCAAAACAACTGTCATTAATTAATGTGATAACAATCAATTTAGCTCTTTCTTCATCTAAATTGAATGTTTTCTAGCGCGTTAACATTTAAATCTGAAGATGTATTATTTGGACTGAGGGATTATTTAATAAAATAAGTTCATTTTTTCACTGTGCCCTGGTAACAAAATGACCCATGGACCAATACCAGTTGTGGGACCAGGAGTTGATAACCCCTGCTGTACAGGATAAACCCAACATGGAGTCAGGACCGCTATGGATCAAAATGGCAGAAAACATAAATTGCGAATGGAGATGAAGCCACACCTAAGATACTGAAAAGAATATGGATGTGAGAGTGTGTGCTGTTACAGTAGCTGTAGTTTTAGGTACATGAAAATTCAACAGTTGGTAGCATTGGTTTTGAATGACTGAAAAGTCAAAAGAGGACATGGAGGTGGCTGGTGTAACAGTAGAGGCTGGAGAGGGATCTGCTGTGGTGACCCCTGTAGAGTGGAGCTGAGGGGGCACTGTGAAAACAGATATCAGATAAGGTGAGGTTTTCTCCCTTTGTCATTAAAGGTATTAACGTCCACCAGGAGGCCCAGACTTGACAGGGTTTGAAATCTGAGATTCTGACATGAATATCTTAAAAGCAATTGTTGCTTAAAATGCTCATATAGCAATTAACGTCACTCTGTTTTCTTTTAAAATTTTCTAGTGATGACATGCTGTTTGAAGATGTTTCAAAGTTGTTGCTATTTGGATGAGGAATCCTTCTACTAAATTCATACTGAATGTGACATACTGTACATGTAGCTGAATGACAACGCTAACACCATCCGTCATTCCACCTACTGTATCTATCATATTATTCCTCTTGTCCGTCAAACCTGTAAAGAGATTTACATCTATTTTTCCAGTAATTATTGGACGGGCCCGTAGCTAAGCCTCAGCTGATATCCATATTTGTGGTGGGGCGCTGTTGTGTAATCCATCCTAAGCTCATCCATGGACGGGATGGATGGGGAATGGAGAGAGGTCAGTGAGGAGCAGGCCGTTATGTTCAGGGCACTTTCCTTACTTTGATTGAAGGGTGTGCTTGTGAAAATAAGGCGCTTATTTTTTTTTTTTTCATGTAGTAGCTTCAGATTGATCAAAACAGATACATGTACATATGTGTATTCTGTTGGTGGTGGAAATGTCCCTTTAAGTTGAGTTGATGTACGGTGGACTTAACTAGTTTTAAAAGAAATCTGTTTTTCTCCATGAACCAAACATGGTTTTATGTTTTAGTGTTAGTCATTATCTTATCAAAACTGTATTTAATGAGAAGGTTGGACGACCTTCAGTGAGCTGTTGTTGAGTTCTTCAAGAAAATGTATTTAAACAGTTGACTAAATATCATTATCACATTATCACATATTGTTTTTAAGGTCATTTTTCAGACATATTTGTGTGTAATGTTCAATATACTTTAGGGTTTATGTTGAAGAATTTGATAGCAATGAAGAATTTGACCACTTTATTGTGATAGGTTGCTCACTTATAAAATATAAGTATAATATTAGTTTTGGAATTAGTTAAGGACTCATGACGTATATATGCTTACTGGCAAGATGATGTAAGCCGTCTTAGAATAACACATTTTTACCTTAGCGCACAGCTAATGATTGACTCAGGTGGCTACAGTGTATGCTCTCCTTCATGCTGGTGAAGTGTTTTCAATCATATTGGATTCAACTTTGCCACCAAATGTTTCTGTCTTTAAATCTTCAGTCAACATCTGTTCAAATTTTCTTTGTTTTTAGTTCCTACTTTCCCATTTAACTGAATGGAGGTTTGATGCTGTTCTCGCTGCTTATTTTAGTAGAGCTGGACAGCTCTGTAGTCATTAATACTCACTAAAGCCCCAGCTGTTTTGTTCTAATCAGTCCCCTGGGGTTTTTGGCCTGGCCAAATCAGGTTGGCTTATGGTTCTGAGTGACCCGTTCCTGTCCTGGGCTGCCATTTCAGAGTGCTTGGCATCATTTTGGGACTTGACAAAAAAACACAACTGAAAGTAACTGTGTTGAGTTCACTGCTTATGTCATACTCATTGGTTCTCCTGAGAATGTCATACTCATCAATAGTATTGTGAGGATTATTCGCTTTCATTAAATATAATTTCTGTAGGTTTTTCTGTAGTGGCGCACTGTGGGATTTTTTTTTTAATGTCGTACGTGCTATGACCCTGTTGTTGGAGAGGAAAGTGTAATAACTGAGTTAGCCACCAAACGTGATACATGTTGCATGTATCTGCTGAACAAAAGTAGGATCACACTGAAATAGCACCCCCACTAACACCCTGGATTGGGTCTTGGAGCCACACACTCATCAAAATGGCTTATATACAAGACTGAACTAAATCAGATTGGATGATGTCACAGCTCAGCTCATTCTCTTACTGCTGACTGGCTTTTTGGCCTTATGGATCCAGCATGTTTTAATGTTATTCCTATGGAAACGTGTGTGATTATTTTCTTACACCAAAATGTTTTGATAAATCCATAGATTAAGTAATTTAAGATTAGTAATTCAAGATTCAAGATGAGCATTGTATGAGAAAACCCACATTTTGGATGTCCACAGAGATTTTTGAGAAGGTTTTGGAAATTGTTTCAGGTTGGCAAACGATGGGTCGTTCAAGACTTCTGCATACCATTATAGGCCATGCATGTTGCATCTTTAGTCAAATAATAAAGAGCAGATTCTTATATAACCTTTGCATATGGCCCATAATTCAGCCTGGATGTGCAGCACACAAACTCATAAAGCACCCACCCTCGCATTTTTAGTCATGTGTCTTAATGGAGATGTGGGCACATGCAAATATCCCTGCTCTGTCATGTAACAGCACTTATGAACTATGTTTTACAAGGATTATTTCCGGGATGGTGAACATGCACACCATGATTTCACTGTAAGTCATTAAGGGACGGACATGTCCATATTAGTCGTCCTTAAAAGGCCAGAAATAATACATGGTTGGTAAAATTGGTAAACATGTCTGATGAAAGCAAAATCTAGGTTTTAGAGTGGCTTAAGAAATGCCCCTTCCTCTTATTATTCCTCCTCTTCCTTTTGTCTGTTTCTTTTTCCTGCCCTTCATGTAAATGTGCTGACAGTGAATGTCCTGCTCATCAGGTCATATTTGTGGACCGTGTACGTATACTGTATACACTGACAGATGGAGAGTCTTGTCGGAATGTTTCACTGTTGCTAGGAGATGTGGAAACATTCAGTTAGCTGTTAATGCAAGCTGATTGATGACAAAGGATGAGCAGAAGGTATAGTGCTATATGTAGACTATTGAATAAAATCATTCATTTTAACACAAACACTGTGGTTACTGTATAGGCTGATTTCAAATTTGGCTGATCGTTTCATTAATATGTTAATATGTTCCTTTTGAAAAATGCATAAAATTACTTTACGGAGTGTGTGGAATAAAGGTGAAAACACAACTCTAGATTGTTATAATGATTAATGATGTATTTAATGTTGAAAGTTCCACTCCAGAATTAGTGCAGTAACTAATGTGCTGCCAGTACTAATTGACTAACGTTCCTGCCCCACAGTTTCGTCATGGTCCTGGTCTGTCTAATCTTCAGTGTCCTTTCAACCATAGAACAATATGCAGACTTCGCCACCGGCACCCTCTTCTGGATGGTGAGTATTTCGACTGTGCTACCACACAGTTGTACATGACTTTAGCTGGGTTGTAGGGCTCATCAAGCCTTATTACTGAAATGACTGTTGTATGATTGTCTCCGATAAATTCCCACTGCAGTACCTTCTGTTCCCGCATGATGGAGACAGAAGATCATTTAGCTGGGAAACCTGACCCCACAATCTTACACAACTGTCCAAAAATCAGTTTGTGTTGTTACAATCCCTCCTGTTACATTACCATAAGTTACATGATGACAATGTTGTGTGGTCAGTAAACACAACGTCATGATGACATTGTTTCTTGGTGATTGGCCTCTAAACAGACTATACTGCACTAACTGCTGAATTGGCAGTGAAAAATTATAGCTGCCTTTTCACTGAACAAAGTGTGTGTGTGTGTGTGTGTGTGTGCCTTCTGTGTTCTTCCAGCAGCTGTAAATATAAATACACAAACACACACACACACACACACACACAAGGATGGAGCACACAAACACACTCAAGCAAACACGTGTACCACCTCCTGAGATGCTGGGGGCATTAAGAGGACAGAGTGTTCTGTAAACTTTTAACCAGTGGAGTTACAGACCTGCAGTATGCTACAATAACAGCTATTCATTTATTTTTACCTCTCTCTCTCTCTCTCTCTCTCTCTCTCCTCCTTTGTTTCTTTTCTTCACTGTCTGGTTCCACCCTTCAACTTTTCTCATGCTTGTTGCTTCAGAACTCCTCTCAGTCTAATAAAGAGAAACAGACAAAACGTCAATTTTGATTTCCTTTGTTTCACAAAGTCTTCATTTAAAAATTAGAGAACAGTTGCAGGAATTATACCCCAGTGTATATTTATACTTTATACAGTGTGTAAACCTGCATGTGTGGACTCAAATAGAAGTCGCCCCAGTGACATATACTATAGTTGTAGCAGCTATACTTAGGAATGTCATGGTAGCTGACCATCACTAATCACAGACTGCTGTTTTAAATGGCAGCGATGACATTTGTCCAGTAAGAGCTTTAGTCTTTTGGCAGCAGCCAGAGTAAATCCAGACCTGGGCCTGGTGCCCAGTGACCTAAGCAGACCACAGGCAGGTCATGAACACATTTTAAAATAATGAAATCCCAACTGCATTAATCATGATTATGTCCCTTTACTCTCTGTTTGTATGTTTATTTCTGTTGTCATTTATTCTGTTTAATTCTGATAGGCCAGATAAATATTTACTAAATATTTTCTGCAGTGCCGACTGTAACACTTTGTCTTGAGTCACAGGATCAATTTGGCTTTTGTAAATGATATTCAAAGCCAGTCCAGAGATATAAAAATGTTTGGTTTGGGTTTTAACAGTCGAGCATTGTTCTGTTAGTATGTCAATAATGTGGTAGAATAAAATGTTGATCCAATTCCATCCATGGCAGTTGCTCACAATTCTACCACAGGAGAACTCGAAGTGTTAATCACAGGTCCGTAAAATAAAATGATTAAAAGAACATTTATTCACGCATCCTCCCAGATGGATTACATCTGACTTTACAGATTTCCTAACAGCTTTGTTTACATCTGTCTTAATCAGATTATTGCCGTGCAGACAGATTTCAGTGAACAGTTAGATGCCAGTTCTTCATGCAGATGCCACCTCTCGCATCTGGGTGAAAAAACATTACAAAGTAATTTTGACTAATATCTTAAAACCACCAAAATTATTATTATTTTGTTTACTTTGAAAGGTGAGCTAGAAGAAAACAAAGCCTGCTGAAATTGGAGTATACTTTTTTGTCATATTGAGTTTCTAATCTATTCTCTCTCTCTTCTCCTTCTCTCATTGTCCTCCATTTGAGTGACATTCAGTTCATGTCCTCCAGAGTGACACTTTTGCTTGAATAGTGGTGTGTGTGTGAGTGTGTGTGGCAGGTCATTGTTTTTGGACTGAGTGGTGCTGTGTTATTGCAGCAGGATTCAAGGTATTAAGTTTCATATAAGCAGTGGTCAGGGAGCAGCCAGTTCAAGCAATCAAGGAGATGACCACCCACATTGGCTCAGATTTGAACTGACAGTATAGTGGCTAAATATTATGGATAGGCAGCGGCCCTGAACGTTATTGCACAGACTTAATGAGTTCATAGAGGCACACTCAAGGGCAGGTTACAGAAAAAAAAGAAAAATGAGTTATTCTGTAGCTCAGATACTGGCGTAGATGAAGACTTTCCTAACAAGATCTTAGTGCCACAGTGAATTATTTAACTGTCTCATCTGTTCAGTGGCAGAGTGATCACTTAGCCATCCAGCCTGTCTCATTATAAGCTGTCATCAGCTGCCTTATCTACACTCATCTACGTTCCTGGGTGGTTTGGTGGTCTTTGGTGGCTGCAGACCACCTCGGTGTCTCTTTGTTTCTCTCAAGCCTGTCATTACTGCCTCACATAACACTTTAAATCTTGCCAGTTATTCCCGCCAGCCTTAATGACATACGATACGTGTGTGGTGTCAATGCTTCCCCTCCTTTTCTGTGAAATAATTCATTTTCATCCATGTCCTCCACAGGAGATTGTTCTGGTTCTCTTCTTTGGCACAGAGTATGTGGTCCGGCTGTGGTCAGCGGGCTGTCGCAGCAAATATTCTGGTATCAAAGGACGCCTGCACTTCATCAGGAAGCCCATATCAATCATAGGTACACGCTGCACTTTTCTACGTCTGTCTATGTTTCTGTCTTTAGATATGTCGTGTTTGAACAGCATTTTAACTTTACTGAAGTTGTTGGTGAAATGTTTTTATTCCAGATTAAATGACAAGTCTTTTAAATGGTCTTTATTTTTTAACTTTTTACAGATTTGATAGTGGTTATTGCTTCAATCATCGTGCTCGGTGTAGGGTCAAATGGCCAAGTCTTTGCTACGTCTGCCATCAGGTATTGCAGTTACTGCTGTATTGCATTTTTAACACTGACTTATATAAGAAAATAGAAAACAAAATTTTAAAAATGGCCTGTATGTTTGTTACAGAGGAATCCGATTCCTTCAAATCTTGCGCATGCTTCACGTGGATCGTCAGGGAGGAACATGGAGACTCCTAGGATCTGTCGTCTTCATCCATCGACAGGTAGCTTCTGATGTTGTCATGTTTTTAATTTTAATTTTTAAAAATGTAGATATCATTCCTAAGTCACGTTTGATTGATGTGGTTTTCTTCCAGGAACTTATTACAACTCTTTACATCGGATTCCTGGGCCTCATCTTCTCCTCTTACTTTGTCTACTTGGCGGAGAAAGATGCCGTGGATGAAGATGGAAAGACAGGCTTCTCCAGTTACGCCGATGCCCTCTGGTGGGGCGTGGTAAGGCTGCTAGTTCGAAAACTTTCCACATTTTGTTCTGAGACGGGCAGGTGCATTGACTTTTTTTGCGTGAGAAGAGCTGGTTTTGCTTATGTTCTGTGTTGAATCTCAGGTTTCCTCAGCAGTTAATTAAAGATTTGAATTAAAAGAAAAGTAATGAGAAACCACTGGTGGCCTTGTGCTGGGGATCAGTTTGCAGCAAAGAGATGGAAGTAAACCGTGTACTTCGGAGCTGACATGGCTAAAAGTACTTCGAATTACATGGTTTAATTCCAGGTCCCTTAAGTAAATATAATTGCAGATTGTTTCACATTTTTATTTACTGAGGTATTTACTACTGAACAGGGATTATCCATTGTACACACATATTCACATGTATTTGTCAGTACAGTTATGCACATATTCAAAGACCCGACCTGTGACCTTTGTTTAGACATGAAAAGGTTTTTTTTCCCCACACCCTCCAGTTCAAATCAGTCGAGTGTTTTCAAGTAGACCATTCCTCACTGCGACATTGTTTAGTCATCAGATTGGAGGATAAGGAATTAAATCCCACACTATTCTGCCCCTCACCCAGCCTTCAACACACACACACACACACACACACACACACACACTGTTTTTCCCTTTTACTCTGAAAGCCCTTTAAAGAATCTCACCTTACATCAGCCGCTTTGTTGACGTGCAGCGGTGGCTCAGGAGTTGATACCTCACAGACACCAACAATACTCCAAGTGTGCTCTGAATGTGTCAGAATTGGCTTGCCTTCATTTTGGGTGTGCATGAAAATCCAAGAGGTATTTGTTTCACCAACCTCTCACCCCCTAACAAATTCCTACACTCTCTGAGGATTAGTGGTTGAGAATCTTATCCTCTTTGAGAAGTATTATTCTGTAATGCCTCGCGCCACTGTTGATGGTTGTAGAGAAAGGCATAAAGGGGATGATGCCCCTCCTCTGGTAAAGCTTTGCACAACATGCACTGACCTGCATTTGCAGTAAAACAAAAAATGTTTTAAAAGAAAATCCCTGATTGGAGGAATTTAAAATTCAAACCGAAAGACCATATTAAGTGAAGTGTTTTTTAAGTGTTTAACTAAGAGGTCATAACAGCGGTTAGAACACATCCTGTCAAGAAGCCGTTAACATTGATACTGACTTTGCTGAAAGACTAGTTTTTTTTGTAACAACACAGAACAGTAACTTAATAATATATATTTATTTGCATTTCTTTTCTGTCTCTAGGTGACAGTCACCACTATTGGATATGGTGACAAGATTCCTCAAACATGGATTGGGAAGGCTATTGCCTCCTGCTTCAGCGTCTTTGCCATCTCCTTCTTTGCGCTGCCAGCTGTAAATATGATTTTTCATTCAAATTTTTGAGCAATATGAAAAGGCTATAAAAATAAATTCACCCCCAGTTTTTGTAAGGACAAACCCGGTGACAATGTGATATACAACATGTATTCTGACCAACGCATCCTCATTGTTCCCTACTGTTAGGGAATCTTGGGCTCAGGATTTGCCCTGAAGGTCCAGCAGAAGCAGAGGCAGAAGCATTTCAACAGACAGATTCCTGCAGCAGCCTCACTCATTCAGGTACATTTGAACAGCAGATGGCAGCGCTTCAACTGTAAGGCCACGAACGGCTGGAGGTCGTCCAGGGTTGACTTTTCACAGTAAAACACAGCAACAGCGAAATAACCAGTGAGATCATGTGGAAAAATCTTAATGACTTGTTTGTACTGCATAATTAACCAGTCACTACAAAGACTCGTCACGCTGATATTTAAAAGGCGTGAAATCACACTTTGTAATCAGTTGAACATCAGATGTTTCCTCAGTTTAGATACAGCCCAGCTGCTGACACTTTCACCGTGGGCGCAGCACGATGACGTCAAGACTTTGACCAAAACAATCACCCGATGAGTCGCAGTTTCGACTGCATTTATTAACAACACTTTCATGTTTTTCCTGTTTCTATCAGACACTGTGGAGATGCTATGCAGCAGAGAAACCAGGCGGCTGCGCTGCTACGTGGAAAATGTACGTCTTAACTCCAGTTCCCGTCAACACAGTGGAAGCTGACATTTCCAGTCCTAATCTCAGGAAACTGCACCTATCGGTAATTATTTAACTGGTAAAAACAATGTGGCACTAACGCACAATATTCCTGATGTTGATTTAACAAGAAACGTCTTCCCTTAATCTTTTTTTTTTCTTTTTTTTTACTTTGTCCCAAACTGCCAAGTCAATGTTGTTTTTCAGAAAAACCAAAACTAACAACAGGTTGTTTTGTTGAAGTTATCTGTCCTGCATCGTGTCGTCCAATATTTCATGTCCCAGTGTCTCAGCAGCATTAACTCCATGTTGTCTGGGGTTCACAGCCTAGACTACACACACACACACACACACATACCCTCACACACCAAAACACACTCGTACTCGCAGACGTATACACACACGGACCCCCCCCACCCTCCACCAGGATGACTTGGGCCCTTTGTCTGTGCCGTACAAAGACTCAGTCAGTTGAGATGATGTCACTGCCACCTTTCTCATGGGAGTAAACCTTTGTCTTGTAGAACAACAACAAAAAAATCTTTGTGTTGCATTGAGCCCAAATGCAAAGGGAAGAATGAGTGGTGCTTCCGCTCCTTTCTATTTTTCGGCCTGTGACTTTTCTACGCTGACGTTCCCCTCTCTCCCCGGGTTTTTTTTTTCTTTGTGCATCAGGATGGTCTCCTGTTTCTTATTTCTCTCTCTTTTCTTCCTTCACTTACTCTCTCTCTCCTTAACCTTTTTTTTTGCATTCATCGTTCTTTTTTCTCAAGGAAAAAGTAGGACATTGTGTTCTTTCAGTTTACATACGTAAACACCAATCCCTCCCCCGGAGGTAGCGATATAAACGCAGTGTTGTTATGCCCTGAAATATTGTTCATCCTCAAACTGGCTAAATCACAAGAATTGAAACTAGTGTAGTCATACTATAGACAAACACTTGAAAACATGAAACATATACACCTGTGTTTCTGCAATAAATTAAGTTTTTAATAAAATAAAATTTTTGTTGACAGATTTGACACTTATGACATTCTAGGGGTTATATCTCCATTCAAAGGTCAAAGGTCAACATGTTAAATCTTCAGGCAGAAATCTGGGCAGTTTGACGTTTGAATGTGCCAACAATTCCTCTCTTATTCCTGTAGGTACAGAAATGTGATATGATCTAGTGATGTCACTCATCATCATTATTCGCCTCATACACTTGATGATTCACATATTGATGTTCCCTCTGTGTTGAAGAAAAGGGGCTCCAAACGGCGCTTGAAGTCCAGAGGTAACGGCTCCATGGGCGTGGCCAATGACAGGGCTATATCAATTCCCCAGATCACCTACGATCACATCGATGACTCTGTGGAGAAGAAGGACGTCTCATATTTCTTGGAAGAGCCGAGGGGGACCGTGGAAGGTACACACTCTGACATGGACCCAGCTTTCCATCTACAACGTAAACTGACACTTAGACGTCGATATCCACTGGATATCTGTGGTTCCTGAGGTTTCTTTACTGTAACTTGGTTTAGAAAACCAACTTATTGTTTTTAACTCAACTTACAAAAAGGATAACACAACAGAACGCCGGCCTGTCTCATAGCTGATCAGCTGAAAACAATGTTTTAGTGTGTAACTTTGCTGATTAAATTTAGTTTAAGAAACACAACTACTTAGATATGATAAAGGTATTCACAGCATGACTTCTTATTAATTATTGATTTTTCTATTCTCTGCAGGAATCACCAGACTGTTGAGACAAACAGGTTAGTCCAATGATTTTATTTTCATTTTACTGTATAGTTCATTGATCCTGCTGTTTAGTGAGTTTCCTGTGAAATTTAAATCTTCAAAAGTGTAAACTACACCAAAGCCCACTCAAAATAAAGACATTTTACAGTTTGTTTTTTTTCCTCCCGTTGTCGACCAAACACCAGGAAACCCATTTCAGGTTTATTCCTAATCTTTGATCCCAACTCTATCTGACCAACAGTCTTTTCACTGTTTCACTACTGCTTTCTCTTTCATTAAAAGCTCCTCTGTGTTAATCATTACCCAGTCTGCCTCTTTCATATGTCCCAGACAGTATTTTAATTAGACTCACTGGCTGGCCTGGTCTTTGTCCTGCCAGTGGACCAAACCAGAGCCAAGCAGAGCGAGTCAGACATTGGTCCTGATTTGACCTGCCCTCTTTTCTTTACTGGGGACCTGGCCAACTCCATGGGTGAGGAACATTGTTGGACTGGGTTGGAATAGGCTTAGCCCAAGAGAATGTTTGGACCCAGATAGAGACACCAAAAAGAGAGGACGGGTGGGGGGTTGGGGGGAAGGGGTGAGGTAAGGAGGTAGTGAAGATGATAAGTGTTTACTGTGGAGCAGGTTTGGTCAGAAAAAAAAAAACAGTCATTGTTTATAATCCAGTCTGAGTCCGCCCTTCAGAGACCCTTTCCATTTTTTCTGCACTCACTCTTCTTCTCTATCCTCATCTCTACTTGACTCGCTCACAACAAAACATTTTTGCACCGATGGACCAGATAAACTGCATGAATCGCCGGCATGTTCATAAATCCTTATCCTGTTTGTGCAGACGATAAGCCGGTTCACGTGTCCTTCGCTGAGCCCCAGTGGGGACTCAAGATGTCTCTGGTTACAACACCCTACCCCCCACCATGTCTCTTTAAATTTTCACTCCCTTTTCTCTCATTTGGCTCACTTGTTTTCTAACGTCCGATGGTTTGAAGAGATGTTTTAGTTCAGGTCAAGACCCCGTGTTGTGGCTGTACACATTGTTTCTTGATAAAAATGTTAAATCATATGAACTAAATATGTACTGTTGACATGAATGTTACTTCAGCATAACTGTTTCACCTTTTTTTTCTTTTTCCCCTCTTCTTTCTCTCATCTCTTGCAATTATTTTTGCATGCCATCAGGCCCCCCCCATCATTCTTGGTCATCTTTTACTATGAGCTGTCCTAGCTCTCCAGGTATCTGCTTTTGTGTCATGCACGCTCACGTCTTTTTTTTTTTTCACGTCTTTCAATGTTTGTTGTCAGTACATTCAATGATTTTAATAAATCAAAACAGAAAGGAGAATCAAACATTATAATTGAAAGCATTGATCTGATTCCATCAATGTCTTACATGTACTGCCATCAGCATCGTTATACAGTCGTATGAGTTGTACAGTATGTATACAGTACATTTGTGTTCAAACCTCACTGTGAGTGCACTGACATGATGATGTTCATCCTCCGCAGTCAGACGGAATCATGACAACAGTAATTCCATCGACATCTCCCGGGCCAACAGCCTAACCGATGAACTGTACTACATGACCGAGGACGTTCCTCTGCCGGTGATGACAGACAAAAAAGAGTAAGTCTCATTTATCCTTCTCACTTAAACTGGCTCTGAATTCCCATCAAAGGTTCTACAAACGCCTGTCTTTTTGTCTAAATCTAAATGCATTTTACAGCACAGAGTTGCTGCATACGCATGTTTTGTTGAACCCTCTTGTTGGTTAAAAAAAAAAAAACTCTCAGGGCCTGGGCTTGGTCAGTAAAAAAAGGGGGGATTATCCCTTTATTCTAGAGGAAAATGCCAAAAAAAATCTTTAGTAGTAGATGCTAGGTCACATACCACACCTGTCTGGACTACTTCCTGTCCTGACCAACCCTTCTACTGTTTGTCACTGAAGTCTGTCACTTCCTTGTTTTGTGGCGTTCACCTGTTGGTCACACAAAGTCATTGCGGGGACTCTGTGTCAGTGGTAACGTTTGGTCTAACCCTCCGCAGCAGGAAACATTCTGAGTTCACGTGTGGTCACTGTGCAGCTCATGTCTTCTACGTGTGGTTGTTTCCTGTCATTAATAATGGATGTGGTTAATCCATAGTGTACATCTGCCAGTGAGTGGTGGGCTCTCCTAATGCCTCCAGTGACGGCACACGTTCACTCAGGGCTCTCAGCCGGACTTCTGTTTAATGTATTTTAATAAAAACACAGTATACTTTACTACTGAGGGCAGCAGGTTTTTTTTTTTAGACAGTCATTTTTTAAAAGGGACAATGTTACATTCTTCCTATAAACGTGAATGTGCATATGCATTAAGTAAGAGATCCATATTATCTTGGATTTTGTTTGCATGTGTACTGTTGATGTATGCAGTTTTTATATCCATATACTGTATGTTTTTCTTCTCCTCACTCTAAAATTCAAAATCAAAATTCAGTTATCGTTCAGTTTGTTGTCAGTCCTTTGACCATTTAACGTCTCATCAATACGTACTGATGAAGACAGGACTCTACTGTAGCACTAGAGAGACGAGGATCAGGTGCAAATACTTTAGTTCAACTTAAACTCACTGGAGCGGAACCACAGCAAAGCAGACATGAATCAGAACAGGAACAAAAAACCACAAGAACAACAAAGCATCACAATGACCAAACCCTGACTGAGTGAGGGAGAGAGGTATATAGACCCAGGGCACCAGGTGACACCAGTGAGACTAATGACAGACACAGGTGAGTGTGATGACACTGATTACACAGCAGAAGGACAGGCAGAGAGACACACCTCACAGTAAAGTAACAGATTACTGCCCACCCCTTTGTTTGACCTTAGCATTTATGTCAATGTCTTTTGTCCACATTTTAGTTCCACAGTGTCCCACGTCGGCTCTTCAACTGTTCCTCTCTCTCTCATGATATTATGTCTGTCTACACCCATGATCATTTGACCCTGAGTAAAGGCCAAGACCACCACCCACTGATGTAAAACATTTGAACATAATCAGTGGGTGGTGGACTCCCCAGGAAAATGTGATTCTTTGGTTTATATTTCAACTCTGTTCTGTTTTTCATAAAATCTATGAATGTAGATTTGGCCTGTATATCCACACCCTTAATAATTACCATTCGAATGGACCACATTTGGGATCTGTTATGTGTCTTAGAGCTGATGCTTCATCCAAAATAAAGTTTGAACAAACTTTTCATTACTAGCTAGGCCTCCAGCATGTTACTGTATATTCCTCTCAGAAGGTGGACTAGCCTACACCTTCAGGCACTTGAATGTAGTCGTTGTAGGAAATAACTGCTGAAGCTGTGGCTTTGAGATAAGAAGTGTCTTGTACTTCATTCACAGTCAGAGAGTCATTAAAAGTAACTGAGCAGGAACTCCTAACACTGAAATATTACACTTTAGTATTTGATATCAACCTGTAACAACTTGAAACAATAGTAGTTCAATAGTAAACTAATGCTCGTCTAACCTGTTGCATTGACATTATGTAGAAACGTGTAGCGAATTCATTCATGACTCAAAATGACAAAACAGGTTTTGATAGTAATTTGATATTTATCATTTTTTAAAATTCTTTTTGTATTTTTTGTGGCACAGGAGTCGTGTTTTATTCACGCCAAGTCACGCTCTGTGTTTTAGTCATTATACTGCGGTGCATGTTTACCAAACAGAAGCTGCGTTTCCTCATCTAACAGTATGGTGGTGTGCTGCCTGTTACACACAGAGCAAAACCTGTCGCCGTAGGCACTCGTTAGCATACGAACGTTTAATTATCTTCATTAAAAGTCAGTGTCATTACCATCATTACAACCTGTCAGGTCTATCACCGTTGAATAATATTGTGGGTCTGATCCTTTCCTGCCATTTATGACTTCATAACTTTTTATTACAAAGGAATGTGTGAATTAATCTGTGGAGGAAATTGAGCTCCGCTGAATCCAGCGGGTGTTTAACGCCTGAGTGTGTGAGAGCCAGTTTCAGTTCCAGCTGCAGAGACAAACAGTGTCTAATTGTATCCATTGCTGTGCCGCCGTGCCCATAACTCAGCTGTAACTGCCTCGCTCAGATTTGGGCCATACTGGGCACTCCCATAACAGCTGGTTTGTTTTGCACCCAGTGTCACGCCACTCTGAGCAGCTCTGTCATTTGGCATCCTTATCTGGATTTTATTTAGACAGCTACCAGATCCACCCACAAAACTTGAGGCTACACATAGACACACACACAGGAACACACACATTCAAGTTACTCTGTCTTGCACATTTTTTTATAAACGCAAAAACAAAATTAAAAAAAAGGATTTGAATTCCCCAATTTACTGTATAGGGTTAGTTTTGTATATTAACATTGTCAAAGTACTGCACCACTCTTTATTTTACCTAAGCATAGGTGGCGTTGTCCCACAGATGCTAAAAGTTCACATTCACTCGTCTGTTGTCTTTGCTCAGTCGTACTTCACTGTTGTGTTTGTGAGTGTTTGTGTTCACATGTGACGGAGCAATCACTGCAGTTGGCTGTGACGTCTCTGTGATGTCTCTGTGTTTTGATTGAGGAAGTCGTGCAGGGCACTGTCCACACGCAATCATGTCTTTATTCCCCGACAAGAGACACCAACACCGCACACAAACACACACAGTTTGGCCTAACCTTCAGCATTAAAGGTGTAATCCTAACCCTTACCCATCTCTAATTCTAATCCTAACTAGTCCTAAAGAATCCTCTTTCTTAATGGGAAACTGAAACATGTCTCCACATAAGGACAAGGACTTTTTCCAAAAATATCGTCCCCATAAGTATAACTAATAGGACACTAGCACAAATCTGTAACATTCCAATGATTTGATGACGAGTGAGTCCTGTGATTTGTTAAATTTCATTCCTCAAATATACACTTGTCCGAGGCCTGCAGACACAGAGTCCTGCTGTGTTCCAGTAAACACTTGGTCCACGGTGTGTTTACGTGCTGCTGTGTAAATGAGGCTTGATTTCATTATAGCTCGGGCAAACAATGATTTCCGTTGATTGTGTACGCACAATTAAAATGTGTGAGAACGCGGTGGCTTAGTGGTTTCACGTGATGCTGTGGGTCTGTTTATACAGCTGTACTATCACAGCAGTGTTTTGGCTGTAAACGGGTTGCATCATATTCATTTTCCTTTTTGATTAGTAGTGCCTGAGATTTTCTGACTCATTCCCCAAATCACCGGAGTCAAGCAGAACCAGATCAGCGATGTCTTTCATCTCATGAGCTGACCAAGGCATCCTCCTTTTTCTTGATGTGTGTGACCATGTTGTCCGGCCTCATGCCTTTCCTTCACGTCTCTTCTCGGACTTTTTAAAAGCCTCCATCGGCCACCTACAGGCAGCTCTTAATTAGTTTCCCTTTTACACTCTAGCCAGCATTAAACAATGAAAACCTCACCGCTGCCCTACAGGAGGGACCGCAGGCGGGGACACATGCATCACGGCCCCCTCTTCTTCAAGTAGGGGCCCCTCTCTGCTGAGCAACTGGCGTCTTTTGTGCAGGGCTCTGAACAAATTGACTTTTTGTCTGTGTGGCCTCTCTGTGCCAGTCCGCTACACTGTACTCCGATATTGATGACAGCGAGGGGCGTCTCAAACATATGCTTGTTCAGTCAAGTGGAAAAGCAGTCTAAAATATAGTCCATTATTAACTGTGGTTTTTTTAAAATCTTTTGTAGAATCTATTTGTTTATGACAAAGGTTATAGGAAGGTCACAGCTGCTACACGTTTTACCCACAAACATTTGCAAAACGTTCTGTTGTTTCTGGACTTACCGCAAAATGGGAAATATAATCAAATGTAAATGCATCGAATGCATCTTTTTTTGAAAGGACACATTTCTACCAGGCAACAGACTCACTGTGCGTGAATGCACCACCTATACTGTATGTGCACAGACAAATAGAAGCAGTGGAAGCTGTGGCCTCCTGCTCTGCTACAAGAGAAAAAGACGTTCTTTTGGTGGATGAAAAGGCAGAGAAGGTAAGTAAGGACTGAAAAGAACAGTTTGTTTCGAAGGTTTTGGCCTGTCTCCCTAAAGTCGAGAGCATAAATAAGACGGTAAAACAACCATATTCACCGAGTCGTCCTCTCTGTGTGGGATATTTCAACTGTTAATTTCTCTGCAGACACTGAACAGTTTATTTGTTCGCTGACTTCCATTTTACCTTTACTCACTGACCCAGTTTGAAAAAAAAAATTGCACTTGCTTTGCCGACAAACAAACCGAAGAACTTCGACTCATAAATCAAAAGTCACATTTACACAAACATTTCCCTGATTTCTTCTCACAGGCTGCAGGAGTTATTTGCGCTTTAAATTGTCTCAAACCTCGAGTCAAAACCTGTCATAACTTGTCTTCATTTGGTGACCGCCGTCATTAACTACTTGGCGCAGTAAAAACTTTGACTCACAAAGCTGTGCCTCTTTAATTCGTTCGCACTGCACTCTGATGAAGGCTATGGTCAGTTACACAACAGCATTAAAAGACCCATAATTCCTGACCAGACTGCATTTAACCCTTTGACTCTCCTTACTACTCACGCAATGTTTGGAAAACTGGATGTTGTCTGACAAGACACTTTTCTTGCTCTTTGAAGATCATGTTGTATGGTTACATTAGACCTGGGCGAACTATGGCCCGTGGGCCAGATACGGCCGACTGGGATTTCTAATCAGGCCCAACAAACACTATTACACGGCATGTGTATGTGTAATTTTTTTTTTTTTTTGTACTTTTTGTACGGCCCACCAGTCAAATTTTGAGCCTCATTTTGGCCAGTCAACTAAACAGTTTCCCCACCCCTGATTTAGATCATCTCCTAAAAATATCCTCCATCTAAATTGACTGTAAATCATGATTAAACAATAGCCTAATGATTTTAACACATAAAAGGTGATACTTGCTTTTAGACATTTTACTGCTCTTTCACAGGACCAAACAATTCTCATGGTGGTGCTGGTCATCCTTTACGGCATATGCGTCAGACTGGGGCAAATAAAAGTTCTTAATTAAAGCGAGGGTTTTGACAGACTTGACATGGGCAATCCCACATTAATGAAGGCCCTCGTGCTGCAGATATGAGGGGTGAGAATGTTTACTCCCTTCACTGGTGTTAGTTCCGGAAGGGTTTTATAATGAGAGCGAGAGAGAGAGAGAGAGAGAGAGAGAGAAAGAGAGAGAGAAAGAGAGAGAGTGATGACCGTTTTATTGCCTCTCACCGCAGGTTGGAAAATTCACAGACTCAGCAAACAAGATCTTCAAAAATAAACCAGGCCGACCAAATAAAACACACTTACTCTCCATCACAATCTCTCATTGCTTCATCCAAATTATGGCCAGCTCTGTGTGCAGCGGCTTGGAAATCTCAAGCTCGGTTTTGGCTTTATTAGCATTAATGAAACTGCCTGGCTGGTGCACAGTGTTGAAGTGAAGTAAGTCGGTCACTTCCTGCTGCTTTGGTGAGTGCCCTGATACTGCGCAGTGTATCACGGTTCCATCCAAAGTCAGCATGAGTAACTGCCAATAAATGCTGCCAGACACTGAAGCGTAGCGAGCAGCGGCCAGCCAAAAATAGACAGACAAACAAGAGTTGGCTTCATGACTTGTAGCTCTGAATTTGTTTGATTTTTTTGATGGATTGTTTAGTCAAATCATTTTTTTTTCTCATTCTTAACAAGTCTCCGTTTTTTAAATTATTTTTTAACGTGCATTTATTTTATGTGCATGTCGCTTTTAAGAAATACTGCTGTTGAAGTTATATTTACTTTAACAATGACTATCAATGGTTCAGTGCCAGTCTATTCATCACCATACTGTTAACAAAAGGTCACAGACCAGCTCTCTCTCTCTCTCTCTCTCTCTCTCTCTGTCACACACACACACACACACACACACACCATGCTGGCCCGTTACAGCCGTCTCCTGTTCTGTCTTCTCCTGACCTAATTTTTCAGTTTTTCTGTTTGTTAATGAAATATTTCTGCCAGACTGCCATAGAACTCAGATTAACACCAGATTACAAAGGGGGAAAAACAACAGGAAATGTCTGTCCAAACATGACTCACAAAATATTTTTGTTTCTCTTTCTTTTTTACCTGACGCCACAATTTCAGAACAACTGAAAGGAGTGTTTGTTTTCATTAGACCTGGGGGTGGGAACACTAACCCCCCACCCCCAGGGATCGAAATGATGACAGTTAAAAAGGTTCAACGCAGATTGAACTGTTTCCACTTTGTGCTTAATTTGACTAATTTCACTTTAAATTCAATAACAATTTCCTGATGAATTGAGCAATTGCAGCAATTAGGTTAAATATACAGCCGTAATTGCTTAACTAACATAATTATCCAAAAACCCCTGTTATCAGGGTCCCTGGATAAATAGAGATTAGGGTAATTTTAGCCACACTAACAAACACAGAGTTGATCGGAGTTCCACCTCTCTGAACACTGTAGCGACTTGAACCTAACATTAGACTCAGTCAGTGTCTCTCCCAGTGTTACCATTCCTAATTGGACTTTTAACTTTATTCATAAATGCTGTGAAAGGACAGTGAGTGATTAACTCAGAGTCATCCGAGGACAAAACGAAGCATTTAAGCTTTATGTAACACTTAGCAAAGTAGCAAAGTTGATTCAACTGTGGTTTCTGTGACAGGGGAAAAAAAAAGTCTCACGACTTCACACATCACACTGCTGCTGTGAAAAACAGCAGGATGCTGAAATTTGGTTGCATCTGTCACTTGGCTTTACACAAGTTTTATAAGCAACACCCCACACATATGCAGCTTTACCGCAGGGAGTAAGCTGGAATTTGGCTGGCTCTCTGCTTCTCAGACGAACCCAGCCGCTGTGTTTCTGTGGTTTGAAGATTGGAAATTTATCTTCTTACATGAGACAGCTTTGGCAAGCTGAAAAAAACAAAACAAAAAATAAATAAATAAAAGCTGTAGCAGTACAGATATTAAGATGATGAGACAGTGTTGGCCTGCTGCACACTGAAGTAGAAACATTCTTAAGGTTTAATAAGACTAGAAAACACATAAAGAAGAATAATTCCACTCTAACACACGTCCTTCTACACTTCAGGTGTGATTTCCCACTGCCATTAGATCATTGTTTCCCAAAGACTGGGTCGCGACCCTCAGGTGTGTCGCAAGAGGGTTTTTTTGGGTCATCTCGCATCATGTTTCCCAGGGGTTTATGAATAATGTCTATTGACTTGGGTCGCAAAGGTTTGTGACTTTTAAAATATGGGTCCCCAGAAACAAAAGTTTGGGAAACACTGCGTTAGATCTTAGTTCAAAATAAAGGAACACCTGAGGGGCCCAATTTTCACCAATTTATTTGTCATAATTTTTATTCAAATGTCGTTGATTGTGTTTGTATTTGAGACTAACTTTTGGAGCTCATGTTGCGTTTGACAAAGGCTTAGCACCAACACTACCAAATTAAAACAACACATGACTTTTTAGCTTAGCTTAGCTTCTTAGCTGGTTCTCAGTGGTCACCCTTTTAACTAGTAATAAAAAATAGTACAGTAATAGTTATCCTTGTGTTGACACACAATAGATTTATACTGTGTATACGCCAAAGCTTTTGGATAGTCACTTGTATTACATGTGTGTTGCACACATGTAATACTAATGGGTATAATTACAACATTTGAGAGTTCAGTGTACTGTAGTACAAAGTAGTAGTACTTTGAAATAGGGGCCACAATACACGGCGGTATAAAAGTCACAGCGTCAGCAGTTACTGCTCGGTGTGGAGGAAGGGAGGCGAAGCATTGACAAACTTCCACCTCTGACCAGCAGGCTGTGCTGTAGCAACACTGTTCTTTTTCCTTCCTGCCATTGTCAGGCAGCAACTGCATATTTTTTTATTTTTATTATTTTACTTGTTATGAATTTTTAGTGTAGGTTTAATAATCCAGGTCCTGTGGGTTTTTCAGAGGGAAGAAGAAGGAAATAGTAAGAGTAGGGCTGAGTTCAAGTGGAAATGTCCTTGTCTGGGGATTTTTACCGGTTTGATGTCTGAAGCCGGGCGTGCCCATTACCAAAACTATAAACACCACCACCACCACTGTTCCTACCAGTATCATGGCTGTTACCCTGGCCAACCTCTACGGCTGTAATTCATCATATTTCTATCCCACTTTTCCCTCTGATGTAAAATATTTGCTTTGGTGTAGCTGTGAGCAAGTTACTGCGGTGTCCCAGCCCTGTGGCCTCTGTGAGTAGTTGAAGAAGAGATTTATAACACACTCTTTAGAACTGTATCGGTGGTTAAACAATTGTTTATTTAGATGTAGGATTTTTTTTTGGTATTATTTAATTATAATAATTTTTAAGGAAAATTACCTATTCTTATTCATTAATATTTTTTTCATGTTTGTTTGTCTTAATTTTATCATTAAAAAATCTAATTAAACCAGAAGCCACAGTTAGATGACATGCAGTCAGTCTTCAAGGCAGGATGTTAAAAAAAAAAAAAAGTTCTGCCAAGTGTCGCAGCTAAGGGGACTCATTAGTAAAGGTCCAATTATCCAGTGGCCGTGGGTCAAAAAGTGGAGAGGTCATCTTCACAATGGTGAAGGGTTCTATCACAGGCTCCACTTGTTTGTGTTCAGATGTGTGTGTGAGCTAGGCACTTTGAATTTGATGAACGTTGTGTGATTAAAAAAACTCCTGGACAGAGTACACTGATGAGTGTATGGGAACATTTTGTATTTTTTCAATAAAAATAAAAATATAAAAATAGTAAAATAATAAAATAAACAATACTAAATTTATACATTTGCTACATTAGGTTTACATTGGCAATTACATTGGTGTGTATTCAGTAACATTTAACCATTTGATTATAAACGTCACTCGGCCGTTGTTGACCACCTCTGATTGTGACTATTAGGGCAGCACAAAGAGAAGACGTTACTACAGGACCTGACACATGGATGTGAACTGTGCTGAAGTGATTGTTACTAAAGACATGCAACTAAACAGTATGAGTGTGTTCTGTTGCTGTGTCCCTGCTGTCCACATTCAATGACTATTCAGTTTATTTACAGGTTTTCACCTGAGATAAGATGTTGTTAAAGAAAGTCACCCTGGGAGTTAGGCTTCCTAGATTTAAATGCGTTTTCCATCTATAAACATCTTTAATATACAGGAACTACTGGGTCAATTGTTCTTGACCTTATCCGTGCAGTATTACAGAGCACGTGTAAACAGACAAAGGTTATTTACAGAATAAAAACACACTTCAGCAGCTGCTCCAGATACCAATAATAGAAAGAATAATCCATGTCTGTCCTGGTATGTTTTCACTGGTCTGGTGGACATTTTTTACACCACATTTGCTTTGTTGTGGCAATGTTGCAAAACGTGTAAGTCTTCTCTCACTCTCTCCCTGTCTTCCCTGGGCTTGTTTTTATTTCTCTTTCACATTCAGCCAGACCTCAGTACAACTCCTAGTAGTTGTCAGTTTCAGGAAATGTGCTGCACTCTGTTGGGAAGTGAGGTATCTGGCTCTGGGCTATCTCTCCCTCTTTTTTTTTTTTTTTTAATCTGCTTACTGGAAGCAGAGCTCAGTTGTGCACGCAGGACCGTGCACTCAGCCCAGCTCTTCTTTTATGTTTACAAGCAGACTGATCATTGGACACACGTGCTTCACCAGTTCAACCTGCAGAAAACCCAATAGCTGTAATTTTGAAAACTTGCAGTTGCAATTGTACACTCATTGCAAAGCCATGCATTGGCTGAGAGTGTGTGTGTGTGTGTTTGTGTGTGTGTGTGAGAGAGTCTGTGTCTTTGTCATTGTGTGTCTGTGTGTGGCTCAATATCCTGCAGACAGGATATCATAGTGCATAGTACTACAAGGTGTTCCTGCAGCAGTTTAACTATTTGTGTGCTTCATAACAGACACACACACATACAGACACATGACACACACATGCACCAGTGTATACATGCAGGCATGCATCATGTTTTGAATACATTTCATAAAGTATTCCAGTATTAACAACTAAAACATATAAAACAACACATGCATTTTTTTTATTCATAAAAAAATAATAAAATTTGATTTTTTTTTTACATTTATTAATTCTGTTCAATTTCTATATTTACATATACTTTATATATCATAGGCCAGTTTAGCTCTAGGGTAATGTTTTCTGCTTAACTTAACTAAATGAAAAAACTGAAATTTTAAACAACTTGGACGTTTTTCTTTTGTTGTTAGCTAACATTGCAGGGGTATGACTGGTAAAAGATAATGCCACGCTGCCGTTTATCATTCATGTAAAACCCTCAAGCAGGGAAAAGCAATAGGAAGCCAAAGCAATAAAAGGCTCTGACATTGATGGGCCTATTTCCCAAACACTTAGACGACCTTAAGTCGTCTCCTCTCTAGTCTGGCTGCAGGGGCCAGGGCTCCATTCCTTATTGCAGTGTCTGACCAGAGTCGCCAAGCCCCAGAGAGGGCTGACGTTTAGGCCCCTTAGGTCTTGTCTGTCTGTTGGTTTGTCTGTGTCTGGTTCCCTCTGAACAACCTTCAGAGTGGAGGTGGGGTCAGTGGCTAAGGAATTTAATGGCCTTTACTTTAGCAAACAGCTCTCAAAGTGCCTGGAACGCACTACTTCTCTACGTCTGTGTCTGTGTACGGGATGAGGAGTGACGATAACCAGAAAATCTAAACAGCTGCTGAAATCATATGGCAAAAAAGAAAAAAAAAGCAGAAATTAAATTGGATTAGTGTCCATTTTTTTTCTTCCTACCCTGTGGCATGTGGTCAGTCCTTAAAAAATGACTCACCGTATGTACACATTTATACAGAATGGAAGGCAGCCACAGAAAAGAAAGGATTTTCAGCAATAGAAAAAAATGACTCTGCCTTATTTTGGGGTTAAGAAGATTAAAACACACGCAACTGCTTCCTTTTTTTTTTTTTTTTTGGTTGCGGCTGGACAACTTATTAAAGCCCATCCACTCAGCTTTAGTTGACTGGATTAGGTTCATGCACAAGGCCCCTACTCATGTTGGTAGATTGCTTATGACAGGCCCTTGTGCAGACACCTTGACT